GCTGATGTGCTGCAGGTGGCAGAGAGCTCAAACAAATGGGCCAGGCTATCAACGTTATATATCAAATCTGGGACACAAGCACCAAGCAAACATGCACTTGGATCATTGGATGACCGCTGGCCCCGACAGGCGAATTTGTCCCCTCTCGGGCGGGAATTTGATATTGGGCCACCACATGCCATGATGTGTGGGGTTCAGCCCAGATGTTGCTCACACGTCCGTCGGTGCTAAGCACATGGTTCGAGAGCATGCACAGAGGGTAGATCGGCATGTGCAGCTTGGGACTGAGCGTGAGCGAACCAAGGAATTGTCAGACTCTGCGATGGAAAGTGAGTGGCGCTGGCGCTGTGACCCTGGCCCCTTCGTGCACTGGCAGCGTAGACAACTTGGATCAGCCGCACCCACTCTTCATCTCACTACGTTTCGTGGTCAGCACATTCGTCGGGTGGGTGAACTCATCGAGGTGTGGAGTGCCGAGTAGGTTGCGCTCAGCGTGAAACCATCGTGTGCACCCGGTCTAGCGCTGTGGGTGGCTAGCAGTTCCTGGTGGTAAGACGACTGCTTGTCGAGATGCTGAAAGCACACCGTATGGCACCAGAGCGGCGACCGTGAATAGACTTGCGAGACGATGGTGTTTCGTACTAATCGTTCGCAGACGTCCTCGCCAGGCTGAGAACGACGGCGCTGTGCGCTTCGGATCACTCGGATCGGACCTACGAGTCCGATAGGGGGGGAACCAGCGGCTAAAGCTTCTGAGTCAGTGTGTTAACCAATAGCGTCACCTAGCTGAGTTACATATTGAAGTGACATCACGTGATACCACAGTACGAAGAGCGCCCAAGCCCGTTAAATCTCAACCTATATTAACTCCTCAGGCGATAGACAAGTGAATTAAGCGAGTCATTCAAGCCTTCATCGGCACCGGTCAACCCGCCATCGTCGAGGCTGAAAGCGACGTATTTCTTTCTTTACTTCTTCCTTCTCTGGCCGAAAGTTCGAGCTGTGTTGCCGCAAATGTCGGGGCATCCGTCTGCGAGGCCCCCCTCGTCCCGCCCATACACTGCCCAATTCACTACTCAGCCTCACACTGCCCAATCTAGGCCTCCAACCGGTAGGCCTACAACAGCTGCATCTTCCAGATACGATGCGAGCTATGTCGTGGCTATCCTCGAGGGCCGTGGTACTGGTCGCGAAGTCGGTATGGCAGCCTTAGACAAGGAGACAGGCAGGGTCAATCTTATTCAAGTAATGACCGGCTAAATGATGACACGCGCATGACCTGAATCTAATGGCTCAAACTTATATAGCTCGCGGATTGTCCTACTTATGTCAAGACCTTACACCAAATGCATCTCCACAAACCCTGCCTGGTGCTCGTCCCAGACACCTTCATTTCGCTTTCAGACTCGACTCTGGCTGCTGGTGGTCAGCGTGCGGATACGACGTCTTTGTTAGTCCAATGTATCCTGGAAGAATTTGAGTCGGTCCCGGTCGAACCTGTGCTCCGCAAGTACTGGAGCGATGGCGCTGGTATACCCGATCCTTGCTAGAACTGGATATTCACTAACTCAAGCTTAGGTCTCGAATTCATCAGTCAGCTATGTGTTGAAGATGATGAACGCGCGGCGACACTCGTGGCATTGTCTAATAAGTGAGCATATGCGCATATTCACCTGTCGATATGCGGGATTGAGGGATTATCCATAGATACTACGCGCTCTCGGCAGCCAGTGCACTGTTCAAACATGCAGAGGCAAAGTTAAATACACGCTTCGCTTCGGCTTCTCTACGTATATGCTATGTTCAAGTGGAAGGCACGATGATGATTGACCCGGAGACGGCTCGGAACCTGGAGCTGGTGAGCAACATGACGAGTAAACGATCGTTGCATTCACTTTTTGGGCACGTATATTCGACCCGCACCTGCATACATGCGGTTTCTCTGATATGTTGAGGTAGGATTCTGAACCATACGTACACGGCTATGGCGGCCAGATTGTTGCGAGTGACGCTTCTTGCCCCAATCACAGGTGAGTATTCAATTATTGGTGTTCTTCTAGGTGCCAAGCTTGCTGACTGTGGGACAGTTCAAAGCGCCATTGATGCTCGTTTAGACGTCGTAGAAGGTAGCATTGGACAACCTCTTCGACACTCGTCTACTAACATGTTGTAGAACTCATTCAGACTGAGGAACGTTTCCATGAAATCAAGGATGCGCTGAAGATGCTGAACAAACTTGATCTTGACAAGCTGATTTCTTCGGTGCGTATCGAACCTCAGGCTTGTGAAATAATGGGACTTATCGTATATCACTTCAGCTCGCCGCCTCAGAAGCCCGAGAGATTTCGAGCGCGAAGACGGCAGCGGCGCGGGTGACACAAATGCTCAATCTTCGGAGCATAGTTCAATGCATGCCTATGTTGGCCAAGGCTCTACAAGGCAGCCGATCTCAGCTTCTGCAGATCATTCAAGAGGTGTGTAATCCTGGGTTTTACATCGCACCTGCTGGTCTGATTATACACATAGATGATCTCGGACGAAAGGCTTGGGAAGATAGAGCAGCTGGTATCGAATAGTTTGAATGAGAACACGATGCTGTATAAGGTGACCGCGACCTACATCAATCTCGTCAGGCCCTCACTCTGCGCAGGGCGGGCTCGGGGCCATAAATGCCAAGGTATATGCGGTCAAGGTTCGCGATAGCGTCTCAGTGATTATATCGAAGCTCACGCGATTTTCGATGATTGACCAGGCAAACTACGACCGCCTCCTCGATGTCGCCCGCGAGACTTACAAGGAGAATGTTGGCGACATTTTCGCGCTCAACAGCGCCCTGTCTGAAGAGCACGATCTCCCTCTGATGCTCGTGTACCAAGACACTGGCTTCATATTCATGCTCAAGAAGACCGATCTCGAGGGCGAGCTTCCACCTGGGTTCATAAATGTGACATCAAGGAAGGGCAAATGGGTGTTTTCTAGCGTTGAGCTGGTGCGTTTCAAGCTTTGGCTGCAACGATGTACTCACGCGGGGTGAGCGAGCAGAAGAAGAGAAATGCAAGAATGAAGGATGCACTGGATGAGACGCTGATTCTGAGCGAGAAGATCATTCACGACCTTGTTGCTGATATCGTCGTCGATATCGGCGCGCTGTACAAGGCTTCTGAGGCTGTTGCCCTCTTGGACATGCTCTGGGCATTCGCACACGCGGCCATTCGTACGTGCCCTCATTTCCTTCCTGGAATTTAGGCAAGATAGTGATTCTGCTGTCAATCTAGTACGAAACTATGGTACTCCCTTGTTGTGTTGATCACATGCGTTTAACTCATGCCCTCCAGTCCGGCCTGAATTCACGGGTACACTTGCCATCAAGTCGGGCCGGCACCCGATCCTCGAAGGTGTGCGGTCGGCGGGGACGCTTGTGCCGAATGACGTCTACTGCTGCGAAGCATCAAGCTTTCAGATTATCCAAGGTCCTAAGTAAGCGAACTCACATCCAATCAGTCTCTCCCTATTGCTAACGTTCGTTCAGCATGTCTGGTCTGTACGCATCTGTAGACGCTAGTGAATGCCTCGTCTCAACTGCCCTCAGGCAAGAGCACCTATCTTCGCCAAATCGGTCTGCTCACCATCATGGCGATGAGCGGTTGTTTCGTACCCTCAGAATACGGCAGCTTCCGGTATGTTCTCCTTTCTTCTCATCACTGCCATTCTCGCCTACCGGGACACAGAGTGCATGACGCTCTGTTAACGCGCCTCTCGAATGATGACGACATGGAGAAGAGCCTGAGCACATTTGCGAACGAGATGGCATCGTCTGCAATGATTCTTGGTGTGTACTGTAGTAGCTGTCAGCGCGTCGCTTATGTTTTGCTTTGTAGGACTGGCGACGGCGGATTCCTTAATACTGATAGACGAACTCGGGCGCGGGACGTCGCCCAAAGAGGGCGTCGGGATTTCGCATGCCATCGCGGAGCAACTGATTAAGCTGAAGGTGAGCTATGCCAGCGCCGGCCGTGTCATGACGCTGACAAACGATAGCCATACGTCTTTTTTGCCACGTATATCTCACAGGGCATACGTGAAATCGTTATGCTTACTAAATGTCTCTTAGGCACTTCGATGAGCTGGTGACGGCGTTGAGTCGCCAGCCATCAGTCGTAAAGTAGGTGTTGTACTTTGGTGTTACGGAGTCGCGCTCTGACATCCGGTACAGTCTGCACCTTTCCGTGCAGAAGACACGTCACACCGGTACAAACTTTGGCATGCGATTCGAGTATAGGTACGCTAATCATATTAAAATGAAGGTCTGATGCTGAAACAACGTTACAGGATAACGGACGGTGCGCAGGAAAACCTGACGCACTACGGTTTGCCACTTCATTCGCGATCTGTTGAATGCATTGAAGATGTGTGCCAGGACTGGACCTTGCGCGCCTTGCCGACCTCCCTGCCGACGTCATGTCTGAAGCGAGGCGTGTCTCTGAGAAGCTTGCCGCGATTGAGGCTAAGAAGAATGAAGAGAGCAAGAGTACGAAAGTCGGGATCCGGCGGAAGGCGCTACTCCGGGTAAAGCTCTCCCCATCTCGCGCAGTCGGCTGTCTATGGAACTCTGCTTGCTCACGGGACTTTTACTGTCTTTTTCTTGGCTTTCTCGGCGTATCTGGATTCCGGCTTTCTTGCCTTTTTACGGGTGAAACCTCAGCTCAAGACTCAGCTGACCCAGGCTCTGGACCATTCAACCCTTCCAGACGAGGATTTGATTGCATATATCGCGCGCTTCCAGAAGGATACCACATGTGTGCTGCAGGAGACTCTGTAGCTTGTTATACTTGTGCTGGCCTTAATTTTTATTTCTCATAATATGTTCCTCGCGTCGTTATTGCTGTTGGCGATTTATATGCATGCGCTCCCTCGACACTATTTGAAAGGGCCATGTTGTCAGCGCGCGCTAGGCCATAGGGCGTCTCTTCAGACGCTGAGAAAAGAAGAAAGCCTGGCTCCCTTCGACTTTTCTGTCTTCGACACACATGCCGTGCAGTCTGAAGTCCAGCAAGACCCATCGGATGCTCTCTGTCGCAACTGCCGGCTCGTCCGACTTCTCCTCCATCTTACCTGCTCGTTAGTTCTCAACGCTACCCCAACTTCCCACCCACGCTTATGAGAGATGAAGCCGCTTACATTTCACTTGCAGCAACTCTGGGCGCCGTTAGCTCGTATCCCGCTGTTGTTCGCGGACCTCGCTTCGTTCGTTCTTCTACAGTCACAGAGTGCAGTACCAACGGCGGAGATCGTGCTCTGCACGCGTCCTTTCACACACTCAGTCGCTGTACCAGCCAATCTCTTCCACCAGGTGGCGCACCTGAGCTCTGGAGAGCCTCGCCATCTCCTACGGCTGCTTTCGGTAACGCAGCTGCAGTATATGGAATAGAATAAGGGCGCCGAAAGCACAGTGGGCACAACCTCACTGCTCCTCACTCAAACCACAACGCCAAGTTGCCAATCGAGCTGTTCTCATTGTAAGGTCTTGTGGAGCTCAACCTTCGTGAGTACGATAATTCTGAGGTTCGTTGGCCGATGCTGACTTTTTCCAGCTGGAAACGGCGTCAAGGCGTCAAGGCGTCACCGCAAATCGGACGACTGAAGAAACTGCAGACAATTGTCGTCCCGCAAAATAGGCTCACGTATTTACCGAAATGCTGGACATGCGTCCTGTGGCACTCGTCCTGCGCGGCAAAGCATGGTAAGAGCCGTCGGACACGAAAGGCGACGAACCACGACAGAAGATTGTGTCGACAACGGTCACCCGCGCTGCTGCGCCTGCTCTGATGGAAGCATATTTGTGCACGCTGCTCCCAGAATACGCGCCCAACGCGCCCAGACCAGAGTTCAAAGTTGGGCGAGGCGGTGCTCAAGACGCCGCGCCCGCTCCCTCTGCTGAACGACTACTCAAGGAGGCTGCTCGAGGACCTGCGCGCGTATTCTCTGCGCGCAGTCGCGAAGAAGGCGGACCCGCGACGCAAGCGTCGGCCGCGAAGCATGTACACTGAATTGAATCGTTCTCATCGGACGTCATTTTGGTCTCCGCGACTGATGTCTGACATTGTGCACAGACACTCGCACGATACTCCTAACAAGCCAATGTCCTTGCTTCCCGTGACAGCTCCGATAGCATCTCAAGCTCAGCGTGAGTCACGGCGTGCGGGCCTTTGGTGGGGACGGCGCGCGAAGAGAACGGCGCAAATGTGACGATCGGCATGGTTGGGGCGGCAGCCGCTCTCACCGCGTGGCAAGGGCAACGCGCACTTTAAGGATATTTACGGCCGCTTTGTTTCGGCTTCATCTTCGCGAGCTCTCCTGCTTTATTTTCATGTTTCAATTGAAGTCAACATATAGCTGCCAGGATGTATATTTCCTGACAATGGCTTCTCTGCCAAGACGGTAGCTAAGCCTCACAGAATTTGAACGTGCGATATGTTCCGAAAGCAGTCGACCACCATTAGCGACATCAGATTTACTGCCAATATTCTGTGCCTTTTGGAGGTGAGTTGATCCTTTTTTTTTTTGCTTAGTACTCGCATTTGTGCATCTTTTCGAGTTAAGTCTGCCTGGCACTGACTCGGAGATTGGCCCCACGCATGATCAACTGGAAACTTTCCGTGGATAAATATAATCAGCTGTGACCCATGTTCAATTTCACAATTGTTACAACATGTATTTTATCAGCCTCCTAGTACATGGCAGCCTAAACTGCAGTATAGCTAGAATGTCAACATCCATAACCTCCGGGTTGTGGGAAACTGCATTTGGAGCAGACTCTCAATTGCAGAACATGTGATAGGATTGCCCAATTTGGCAGTGGCATGTAGTGCTCACCAATTAAGATTACATACAAAATTTGGGGATATGTATGCATTAGAATTGCGTATAGCGTACACGAACACTGTAAGTTATGATATGCATAATCTTACACATATTTAATTTTAAGTAATCATATTTAATCATATGTAATAAGATTCAGGCGGTATCTACCTCCAAGGCGAAGGTAGTATACTAAGGTAGCCAAGCATTGAATCACCAACACAGCTGTACATTACTGGACACATTTTCAAGGTGATATACTACATCTGCACGCCCACCTCACTGCCGAAGTGGTCGGGCTCAAAGTACCCTGAAATTTCATGTAGCATCCAGAAGTCGGGCTTGCCATCAGTGCACAGCAGGAGCAGCCACGGCCCAGACAGGTCGAACAAGAATGTGCCCCCACCAAGGATGTGCATGTCCAAGATGTGGATCAAGTGCACGTTCTAATACTTGTACATAGTGCCGACGCTTGCATGTGAGTCAATGTGACCGCCCCACAAGTGCGTCAAAGAGTGGCGGCAGATGCACAGATGCAAGCAGGGGTTTATAAGAGAGCATGGACACTGTGCTGCCACTGCTGGAGCTCTTCATGGATGACAGCATGCTGTGCATGATGCCGGTGTTGTCAGGTGTGATGAGATGTGTCCTGCCACCGAGCCGATTGAACTTGCACGCGGCGGAGTCCACGTGCCTGGTACTGCAGCTTCTGGACGATGTCCCACAGCAATGTCAAAGGGGGCGGATCAAGGCGCAGTCAGTGAGGAGAGGAAGGAAGAGGAACGCACGATGCTGTTCCCAGCTGTCATTGTGAACAGGCTAGCAGTAGACACTTTCCCACAAGGGACTTCTTCATGAGCTTGGCTCTTGCATGGTCAATCCTAGCCAGTGTAGAGGCAAACTTTGGCCTCTACCTCTTGAAAAACACTCATGGCGCACTGACATGACCTGCTGCATGTCAACATCCAGAGAATTCCAATGCCCATTACATAAAGGCTGATGCTGTTTCTGTGCTCGGACTTGTAGAGCGCATTGGTGTGCGATTCTTGAGTGTGTGAGTGGTGCGCGCCATATTTGAAATCTCGGCCCTTCTGGAGTCCAACATATGTAGCATACAGATTACATACGGGCAGCATAATTTACAATATGCATATGTACACATACGATATGCCATGCGTATGAGTAGGAGAATGATTGTGGAGACCTCCATAATTAATCTTAAGATATGCTTAATCTGAGATTATAATGGTATGTAATCATAATTTTGGTGAGCAGCGAAGTGCGCTTTAAAGTTTGAACACATGAATGTCCTCAAGTTCTCATCTTGAGAGTTGGCTAGAAGAGAGCACGTTTCGTGCACATCATGTAATGTGCCATGTTCCTTAGTATTTATTGACCAACTCAGAGTCTTTTTACGACGCATATCAAACTCCTTGCATCTGGAAAAACCTCTGTTGCTAATTAGCATAACTTAGCATAGTTTAGCACTAATTTACACTTTAATAGCAGAATAGCAGGAGTAGTGCTGGAATAGTATGGTCTCCTGTTATTAATATTATTTAGTACCTACTTTCATGCTATTCTCACTGTTTGTGCTATTCTGCTATTTGTGGTATTTGTGATGTACTTGTTATACAATGGCTAATTTACCAGAATAAAAGTAGTATGCAAAAATCCAAAATATATAGAACTTCCATACAAACACTATATTGCATACCTGACATATTGTATATGCTTGAAAATATAAAAATACAAAAATTTAAAATAGTTGTGCTTAGTGGAAATTGAACCCTGAGCATGCTAACCAGACCAAGCACACTTTAACCACTGAGCTATTTGTTCTACATAAGTATAATGCTTCAATGTTTCTATATGCACCTTTTGGTAGACTTAAAAGCAATTTCAATGTCTAGTCTCAAATTGGCTCCTCCACTGAGGTGCAACTCAGAGTCAAGGGCTTGGGATAAGAGCAGGGCTGTGTGAATACCACACAAACAACTGCCAACACAAGACATCAGTGGCCTGAATCAATTTTGCAGTGAGCAGGATGCTTTCCATGTATGGTGCCTGGTAAAAGTGTATGTAAAATGTTGGATTAGGATGAAGAGGGATAGTGATGAGAAGAAATGCCATACACAGGATTGCAGCAGTGTGGCAGTGCCTGCATGACTATGGGATGTGTTGGAATATAGATCCAGAAAGCCTGTGAGGACCAGCAGCCAAGAGCCTGGATGCAGTCATCAGGCCACCCAATGCTGGCAAAAAATGTCACCCCGCCAGCGCATAAAGAATGGCCCATGATATCAGAGTCCGGGATCACATCATGAAGACAGGACAGGAGCCAACGGCAAGTAGGCACCTGGCCACACTCCGTGAGCCAGAGCATCGGTTGCATCGAAAATAGACTGTTGTGGCTAGACAAGTACTTGTTAAAGATAGCAGAGGGCACAATGCCCGCTGGTGCAAAAGTGTTGGAAATGAGGATATTGGAGCCGGCAAAGAGCCGGTCAGCCTTGTGCTCTGGCAGCATGTATCCATAGGAGGACGCAGTGACAGTGACAGATGCACGAGGGATCACCTTCCACCAAGATTGCAGATCAGTGTCATCAGGCCACACAAGCTCACTAAGGTGATGAAGTGTGAAAAAGCCTGAGAGCAGCAAGGCACAGAAAAGGTGATTATCATGAGAGTGTGGGGGGAAATGGCGAAGCGGGGTGAACAAATGGTGCAGCTTAAGTGCAGCTTTTCGACTTGGCAGCATGTTCATCATGCGGTTACGCCTGGCAAGCGTGCGAGTTATGAGAGGATGCCGGCAGAGCATGCAAACATCAGAATAAAGTGGTTCAAGTTGATTGCAGATGCCAGAAAGATAGGAGTCCACTGAAAAAGGCCAAATGTGATAGCACATGTGGATGGTATAGAATGATAACATGTCCACGAAGAGGTCTATGGGAAAACTGTGCATTTTGCAGAATGTGAGGTAGGACTGCAAATGAAAGGTATATGACTTAGCAGTTGAGTTATTTATTGCAAAATTGAGGGTGACAACTTGGGCATGCAACAGATGGTCTAGTGGCCGAGGCTCACGCTGGGGCTGCCTGGCCGTGGATGGTTCAAGGGTCATTTTTTGGGTGACCCCGACGTGAGCTGCAGGGGTGAAAATGGAGAGATGTGCAGACCCAGAGCATAGAACTGGGCAACAGGAAGCATGCCAGGAGATAACGCATCTGCAACCACGTTCTCAGCCCCGAAAATGTGCCAAACATGCAGATCAATGCCTAACTCAATTAAGATCACAGAAGCCACATGTAGAGTGCTGTTGTAAGATGCAGAAGCCTTGAAAGAATCAAAAATCTGAACGGTGTTCAAGTTGTTGGTGTCGATAGCCAGGTGCTGTGGGCGGCAATGAAGAGAGACTGCCCATTGAAGAGCAGCAAGAACACAGAGCGACTCATACCGGAAAATGGTATCCTCCACATGATTTGGCAAAACTGGCAGCATCGCTATGAACTCTTCATAGCATGCCGGGGACCAGAAGCCAAGGCTGGTGAGGCAAGCGTCACAGAGTAGTTCGAGATCTGTGTCATGTAGTTGCCAAGACAAGAATTGCAGGATATGAACACCACCATGGATGTCAAACATATCTGCAACCCACAGCAAGTCTGTGATGACAGCTTTGTTGAGGAACATAGGGTGCACTAGATGCTGCTTCCCTTGCATCTTCTTATAGGATGACACCAAAGCAGGGCAAAAAAGAGGCTGTACATTCAAACCCCAATTAATCCATTCCAAAAGGTGTTGCCACTGTCACAGAGGCCACTTGCAGGCCAGGGCCTCGAGAACAAACTTGCAGATGGAGCGGACAAAGTTGCGTCAGGCTTCATTGGGGAGTGTGATGGTCATGGCTGCAGAGTCGACCTGAAAACCAATGATGGTCAGGGAGTGCACAAAAATCTGCTTCAGCTGCTTGTGTGGAATGCCAAGCTCATCCCAGAGAAGGAGGAGCTTGACCTGTTTAGACGGGAAGAATGCGTGATAAGGATTATATTGGACTAGGATAGAAATTCGCGTCTTCAGAGAAATTGTCGTCTATATAAGCAAGCATGTTGTCATTGCCCTTGATGTGCACTGCAATCCACAACACCAGACTCATGAATGTGCACCACAGGTCTGGAGAGCCCCGGCTTCCAAAACAGCAGCAGCGGTCAATGCAACACCTGCTGTTGATACAGACAACCTGTTTCAGCTGCCAGAGAGGGTGCATCGGCAGCAGGCAATAGGCATTGGCCATGTCAGACTTAAAAAGCCAGAGAGAAACGTTGCAGAGGATGTGCTGCAAGTAGAGCAGGTTATTCCTGAGATCGAGTACATTGTCTTGCCACATACCCACATCATCTCTGCTGATGCCAGTATTCAACGTGTGAGGCCCTGCAGAGTGATCATTCACAAGGCGTAGCTTGTCCAAGTGGGGCTTTGGCACGGCATACAACAGCATGCACACTATGCCAGGGAGCAACTCAGTGCCAAAAGAACGTGAGTACTGTCCAGCTGCCTCCTTTTCCTCAGCATAGGCTGCTGTAAATGATGCCACTTCATCAAACAAACTCCCATGCACCTCTTCCCATCTGTCAGGGACATCCAAACCTTCAAAATCTGCAAAAGGCCAGAAGCCTTCGCAAATGCCCTAAGACAACTGATTCAACTAGAGGGCGATTTGGGTGAGTGCACAAAGCAGCTTCGAACTGGTCCACATTGATTGGCGTGACAACCTTGAACAGATTGGGGTTGTTACAGGTAGTTTGACACGCCTGCTTGTTAGACATTTCACTTGCTGGAGGCTGCGGCAATGGCCACAAAGTCTCAGAATGAGTGGCTGAAGGAGTAACAGGCGTTTCGGTGCCATCCCAGAGCATGCCTCGCAAATGGCGTGGACGATCACTTGTAGGTTGCTGAAGTAGACCGGGAGCTAGAAGAGTGGTCGCACTTGGTGGCGACGTGCGTGCTGCCACAGAGAGAGCAGGCATACCGGTACCAGCAGTTGCGCATGGTGCATCTTTCATCATTCCAATGGCAACATGCTTTGTTTGTTCTGCCATTGCGGCTGTGCAGAGTTTTGCTCGTAAACACAGAACTTCCCGGAGCTGACACTTCTGCTAGAAGGATGAACATGGTGTATGCATCATGGTAACTGGACGTGTCACTAAGAAGCCGGCAGTTGCTATGGGCAACCTGGAGGTGGATGTAGCAGTTGATGTTGACAATCTGTTTAGCATAGGAGATGGCCAAGGACTTGAACAATCCATTGACATAGTTCCTGTACACCTGTAGCTCTTGGTCCTGGTGGGGGTACAGGAAGACAACTGCATCTTGGTAGCAATCCCAGGCATTAATCCAGTCTCCATGTGACTCAATGCATTGGGAGATCTTTGCGAATGTAGCAACAAGCTCAATGCCGTTCCTGAGCTGAACAGTCTCTCTGTGCTTGGCGTCAGCAGTATGTGTGGCGGTGTGCAGCTTGTCGAGGTCAACAAAGACGTTGCTGATAATATCGTTCCAGAGGGCCGTCAGGATCTCTAGGCAGTCGGGGTGGCAGACAACTTTCTGCTTGACATATGAAACATCTTGCAGGTAGCTCTCCTTGAGCAGGAGAGTAGTGAAGGACTTGGAGAGTCTGGCTGCAGCAAAGTCAGTGCCTCCATTGAGGAAAGGGAGGAGCGAGTCACCAACTTGGGCTCACTTTGTTCGGCCACCATCTCTGTCTCCATCTCCCTCATCCTGCACTTGTCGACGCTTATCACCTCTTTCTCCATCATTGGTGTTGGCTCTCTCTCTCTCTCAGGTGACTCAGGAGGCTGCATCTGATTTGCTTGAGAGGGTGCAGTCTCACCCCCAGCCTGTCCTTGAGAGCTGGCTTGTGAGTTGGCTCTTTTAGCTTTATCAAGTTGAGCGAGGAAGGTCGCATATGCTGCTGTACGGCCCGTGCATTCCTGTTCATTGGAGGTGGCCTTTGGTTTGATGACCACCAGAAGCTGTAGCATGGCCTCTGCTTTTGTGAGCTTACTGCATTGGTAAGATGCGATGACAGTTCTGCAGGCTGTAACTCTCTGCACATCAAAGGCAGAGGGCTCCTGAGACAATCTAGAAGATCCTGCATCTTGTCCGGACATAAATGACTAGATAGATGGTCGTGATATGACAATAAAAGTGTAAAAAAGAGGACTCAAAGCCTAATGCAGATGGAGGTCAGACCAAGCAAGGCATGACAGAAAGTGCTGGCATGAACCTAACACAAATGGAGGTCAGATGGGACGAGGCATGTGGCCCCTGTCCCTCGCAGCTGCACCTATATACCATCTGTGGTCAGGAGGATCCTAGTTAGGTACGCTCACTGCTGACAAAGCGTCGGCACGCATCTAACACTTCTGAGCAGGTCCATGTTCATCTGCTGTTGGACTCATCCTGCTGCAAGCAGGGGAACGGAGGCTGCAGGCCTTTAGATGGGAATGACGAGCGCTTCGAGTCTGCATGCGCGCATCGCTCATTCAACTTGTGTAAACTATCTTTAAACTTGATGAAAATTCATACATATATTGTGGTGCTTATAAATATATGGCAATAATCAACATGAAAATATTAGTGTAACACTGTATGATATGCAGTCAGTTTTGTGTAACTTCTAAACTAGTGTCTAATGAGAACCTGCTGTTGTGTTAAAATGGAAGTGTAGACAACAGCATATGTAAGAGCTGGCAGCTAACTAGTTATGACAAGTGGCACTGAAGCAAATCAAAGTAGTTTTTATGGTGTATGCTGCTACTGTACACTAATTTACAGTAGCCATTTCCTTAAACATTATACAAATAGCAAATAAATAGCAGCTATTATCAGGATTAGCAGAAATAGAAGTGGAAAAGCTTTGAAATAATGACATACAGTGATGACCTAAAGTATTGCAACAGACTACAGAGGGGAGTTAAGATTCCTCAATATCTCCGTAAATATTACAGATGGCTGGACACATTGTATATGGTTTCTAAACTGGACAACTAGCTGTATTTTCTCAAGGTATTGCCTTGTAGCAGAAGGTGTATGCTGGAAGAGTATATCAAAAATAGCTGAAAATGTGCATATTTATCATATAATTTGTAGTATAATACAGACTGTAGAACAAAATTGACTCTGCATATATTAAAATGGAGCTAGTTGTATAGTATGTGTACAAATATAATGATGTGATTAGGCATCCATTTGAATGAACTGTAGAACATATTACATTCATTGCAACATGCAACAGTGTATACTCATATGCTTCAAACATAATCAGGTGCTGAAGTTCTTATATTTTGCTACTATATATCTCTCCTAGTAAATTACATACTGTAAACAGATTTTGGAAAACTTTCCTCTCTATAATGTGGAGTTAGATATGTGCAAACTGCTATAAGAGAAACAAGCCAATGTGATATGCCCTACAGTTCATTCAGATAAATGCCTAATCACATCATTATATTTGTACACATACTATACAACTAGCTCCATTTTAATATATGCAGAGTCAATTTTGTTCTACAGTCTGTATTATACTACAAATTATATGATAAATATGCACATTTTCAGCTATTTTTGATATACTCTTCCAGCATACACCTTCTGCTACAAGGCAATACCTTGAGAAAATACAGCTAGTTGTCCAGTTTAGAAACCATATACAATGTGTCCAGCCATCTGTAATATTCACGGAGATATTGAGGAATCTTAACTCCTCTCTGTAGTCTGTTGCAATACTTTAGGTCGTCACTGTAGCAGGCAGATGGCAGCTATAAACTGAACTTTCAGAAATAGCAGTGAAAAAACTGTGAAATAATAAAAATGACAGGCAAATAGCAGGCAAATAGCAGCTGTTAACAAGACAGATCAAAATGACAGTGAAAAAGCTTTGAAATAATGGAATAGCATGCTATTAGCTGGACATTAGTGATTATAACAGAACTGGCTATTAAAAGACAGTAAAACAACAAATATAAAGCAGGCATTTAGCTGAAATAGTGATTTAATAAAAATAGCATAGAATAGCATTGGATTTACCATTTATCAGCAGTTAAAAACAGAATAACAGAGGGAAAGCATACAAATAGATGAATTTAATAAAATTAGTATATAAATAACAAGAATAACATAAATTACAGACAACTAATGCTATTTTGCATTGGGAGTTTTTCCAGATGCCAATCTTGATGTCTTAGAAGATGCTCTCCATGCTGTTCTTGCTGTCATCGATTTATACGCATGCACTCTCTCGAAATCATTTGAGACAGGTCATATTGGCTTAAGATCTCTCTGTGGCCGCGTTCCTGCCTCTGTGCCTCCGTGCATTCAGTACCTTCATGTTATAGGCAATATTGTCATCTTACATATACACACTCTTAATATTGACCGATAGTGATGCATGTCGTGGGCGTAGCTCCAGCCTCCTATTATTTCTCCATTTTTTCCGATTTTCTGCGATTTATTCTACATTTGTACAACCCTCCAAACATTGTCAGTGCACTGGCACCAATTTACAAGTCCTAGCCACGTGCTAACACTTCTGGATTGCATTACTAACGAGCATGCATTAGTGCATCAGATGCGCCTACATTGCTTCTGCCTTGTCGCCACATCATGCTTCCTCAGTAACAGCCATGCTCTGATCTCCATTGGACTTCCTATCTCTGAGTCCAATCAGCAACAGACATCTGATCCTCGTTGGCCTGACAACGTCAGATATCATGACACATCAGCCTCTGTTTCCTCGCAGAGTCACCTAGATACTAGCAAACACCATAGCTACAGTTGCTTAGGTAATGCCTGGTCCATGCACAATCTGAACAGTATATAAGGACTTCCTTTGTCGCTACCTAGCCCCCATCTCAACCTCTTGGTTATTGGGCTAGGTAAGCCTTTGTTTGTATTTAGCATACACTACTAATGAATTACTTAGTTATTGGGCTAGCTGAATAAGTTAGTACAGATGCTGTGAGACCGTGCTCCGCATTGCCTAGTAGTTAGATCCATGCTGTATCTCTCATGTCGTGTCGATGCCAGTCCACGTCAATGCAGCCTGTGCGCTCTCCTGAGCATGTGAGCGTGTGAGCTGCAACTTTTATGAAGAATATTTGAATTTACTTAAATTCAGATTGTACCGGATCGGCGGTGGGAATCTTGAGAACCACATGCCGGCGCCCGGGTCGGAGACGTGACCACTTCCAAAGAAAGTGCTGCATGGGCGCCTAGAGTTTTAGCGGGATTGATGCGTCCGTGTGTATCTTGTCCTCCACCGAGTCCTTTACCGCAGGGACTGCTTACGATATTTCGTCTCATCAACTGATACAGTACAGGATTTACAACTGTCTTGGTACTCTGCGAACATCACGCCACTCGTCGACATCAAGGCCGCTCCGCACGGCGCAGATCCAAGGATCATGATGTGGCCAAAACCATACCGCGCAGTCGAGATTTCCCGGTCACGATTGTGGCCCTCTACTGCTGCTGTGAGTTGTGAATACTGCTATTTGTCTCGGGACGATGGCGAGATACGTTCTTTTCTTCTTGCGCCTACTCATTCTGATGCGATGTCTGACATGATGCCCGCTAGGACCGGCAAAAACGTTGCCCTTGACATTGTCGTTTCTCTCGCTCTCACGAAGCGGGACGCTTTGCTGGTTCTATGTAACACTCCCTGGACCCTTTCCAGATCTTTTATGTCTGCCTTCGCCCCCATGACCTGAATTTCCGAGAAGCACGGTCATGACTCACGAGTGCACGTCTTGTGTCTTTCCTTCCATTCTTGAAAATCTCAAGGGGTATACGTACTGCGATTGCTGGATATCTTCTTGTCCAGTCTCAATTCCCATCTTGTCCCCCACCTCTCCTTGCACAAGTCACATACATGGATAGTAAGGATACTGAGGCGAAAGCGGCTTGTGCATGCTGCTCAGCTGTAAGAGGCAAACACACTTTCCGAGCCGACAAACTGATGGAAGTCTCAGAATGGCAAGAACCCGTCCCAGACGAACGCCTCGAACATATGGCAGACGATGGTCAAGACGGTACGAGAAGTCGATATGCAGAAGGTGGCAGACACCAAGGAGGATATCGACACTCTACTCGTTTTCGTGCGTATCTTGATCGTTGGCAGGTCTATGAGGTTTTCTGAGTGTATGTAACTAGTCTGGTCTTTTCTCGGCCGTAGTCACGACCTTCGTCGTCGCGACATATCCTAGCCTTCAGCCCGATAACAGCGACGAGATCGTCTTCCTCCTGCGCCAATCCGTCGCACAAAATTACACTTTTAATAACGGGGTCCTGCGCCCGATGGTACCTTTTCCTCCCGATCCGCCATTCGAAGCCCCCGTGTGGGCGTTACGCGTCAACGGCCTCTGGTTCGCAAGCCTCATCATCAGCCTTTCCACTGCCTCTTTCGGCATGCTCGTGAAGCAGTGGCTAATCGAATACCTCGCAATGGAGTGGATTTCGCCCCAAGAGCAGCTGCGTGCTCGACAATACCGCCACCCCGGACTCGAGGACTGGAAAGTCTTCGAGATCGCCGCCGTGCTCCCTCTCCTCCTTCATATATCCCTTGGCCTTTTCTTCTTGGGCCTTTGCTTCTACAATTCTGCGGAGAATGAGATCGTTGGCCGGTCAACGTTCCCCCTCGTCGCTGGATGGGCGTTTTTCGCCTTATTGACTATGGTCGCGCCGTTGGTCACGCCTCGATGCCCATACAAGGTCACCCTTCTCAAAGCCGCCCTACGTGTGGGAAGGCGCCATGTTACCTCCCGCCTCTGGGGACCAACGCTCATGGCGAAAGATGGCGTTATTTCCTCAGCGAAATGGATTTGGCGAGCTGTCATCTGTCTGCCGTTCCGCCTCTTCGACGCTTTTGTAGATGGCCTCTGGGCTCTGGTGAAGGCCAGCAGGGACGTATTCGTCCTCCTCGGATTTCTTGTCTTCCTGTTCTACGCGCCGTTCGGACTCCTGAAGCTTTCATACACTTATCTTTTGGGGTTTGCCAACCTCGTCGTCGCAGATCCTGAGACCGACAAGGAGGAAGAAGACGACATAATGCAACAGAAATATAAGACTCGCGAACTGCTACTCTCGGTCGACGAAGTAATCATCAACGACGGTCCGATTCTCGAAACCATGGCAGAAGTGCTCAAACAGACCCACACCCCTCCGCACTTCATCACTGCTTTCGTCCTTGGCTGTATCCAACATCGCATCGGAGCTGCTAACGCGGATCTTTTGGTACCTGACATCAACGGCCTTATCCGAGGACTGTTGGATCTACGTACGCTCTCCGAGAGCGCATGGAATTTGCTGAGCGGACTCATTGGCGAGACGCTGGAACCCCACCTCCCAGAGAAAGCCGGGCCCCTCGATGTAGGCTCAAACTCGCACAATTCCTGGATGACAAACGCAGCCGCGATGCTCGTCGCCAACTCCCAGAGGCCTCTCCCTGAACGCGCCGTTCTGATGCTCTCCAGTCCCACGACCCTCGCTAAGATACTTCAGCTGGTCAGAGTGGTCATCAAAGACTGGCCTCTCCGCGACGTCATTAGCTTGTTGTGGATTGCTTTTGCGGCTCCGAGGAGAGACCACGACAACATGCCTGCTGAAGTAATCAAGTATTGGGACAGCCTTCCTTCACCGGACGGACGTACTCTCAGCGATCTTCAGGAGGCCACAATCCAGATCCTGCTGGAGAACACTTGGCGTGAAGACGATGAGGATTTGGAACGCCATACCGCGGAGGCCACATTGATGCTCATCTTCCTGCTCGATGGCTCTCCGCCGTCCGTGGACTTTAACAGTAGCGAATTACGGATATCACTTAACCCATCATTCTACGATGGCCATCCGATCTCAAACGTCGAGAGTGTGATGGGGTTGCTCCGCACGGAATATTCGGATATCGCGTCACAGCTTCTGGTAGCTGTCGGCAAGTCCTCCAACCTCGTCATGAATGCCTTGAACGTTTATAGGGCCTTCGTCACAAGATCGCTAATCAACCCTCATGGGATCCCGCTCTGGAAGGTTTTCCATGGTATGAAGAACAATGAAGTTCCATTGTCGTCTCTTCAGCCAGTCTTGCTCGACTTGTGGAGATTCCTTCTCAAGTGCGCTCGCTCGGTTGGAGGCGGAGACCGCCATCTCCAGACGCACGACTTCATCAAACTATGCATCATCTTGGCGCAGCCGGGCATACCACGCATCTTTGGCAGAAAGGAGCCAGCAAACGACTGGAATGAACTGGTCCCTGTCCTCGTGCAGACTGCTGACGAGGGCACTCTCATCGAGACCTTCACGTTTGCCGGCATGTCTACGAGGGAAGAGACAATCTCCGCCCTTGCGGATCGCGCTTTGGAGGAACTCGGGCCTAGCGATCTCGACGTCCCAGAGCAACTCAGGGACGTACTCGCTCGGCTGGCGGGCAAGGGACCCAAGCCTCCGCCCAAGCAGGGTGAGCCCTCCGACCAGACTCACCGGAGGGAATCAGGGGGAGGAATATTGGGCATCCGCTTGCCATTTATCCCGAGGCCGAGAAGGCCAGACGATCCGGTGGGCGGTGCGAACCGCCCTCCTTCTCTTGCTTTGGAGGCAGGCTCTATTCAGATAGAGCCGACGGGCCCTACGTTCCGTTCAAATATTCGACATTCTAATGATGTGCCACCAACGCCAGGGCCACTCCCAGAGGTCGTACCAAATCTCGTGCGTGTTGCCTCCGCAGCGCCTTCGCCGGGCATCCGCCCAAGCGTCCGATATTCTCGCGATGCGCCTCCAGTTTCAGGATTCCCTCCAGTAGTCATACCGAACTTTGTGCCTACTGCTTCTCCACCGGCGGAGCCAACCATTCGCTCCAGCATTCGACGTTCTCGCGATGCGCCGCCGACGCCGGGGCCCCCCTCAGTGGTCGTACCAAACATTGCACCTCTCGCCTCTGCGCCACCATCCCCTGCTATTCGCCCAATAGTTGGACGTTCTAATGATGGGCCATCAACGCCAGGGCAGCCCCCAGTGATCATACCGGACACCGTGCCTTCTGCGCCGCCATCGCCGTCCGTACATACCGTCCGTCCCGTCCGCCCCGAGCGACCTCGAGACATAGCTGCATACGCTGTTGAAGCTCCCGCACCCAGAGCGTACCGCCCTTCGTCTCCCGACACACCGAGTGTTGCGTCTGTCGCATCTGCGCCGCCGCCTTCAGACACAGACTTCCTCTCCGAGGTGCGTCGTCGGAGAATGCACCGGGGTAGCGCTGCACATATTATTGAAGCTCCCACACCAAGAGCGTACCATTCCCCGCCTTCCACCGACCATCCAGCATCTCCGAGTCCACGAACGCCTTCGCGGACTAGCAGTGGCAGGCCTGTTGCAGCACCGAGGGTAACTCTCTCGCGCTCCGTAAGCGGCGACGTTGCCCGGCCTTCCGTTATAGACTCCCGCGCTGCCAGTATGCGGGGCAGGTCGCCTCCTCAAGCCGTAGTTGGCAATTTCGGCGATGTGAGTGCATCCGCCTGAGCATCTTTTGGTTGCTAACGCGTGGATTCAAGGCAAATCCCTATGATCAGCCACGAGATGGTGCTGGCGCCGCCGTACCAGCAGCTCCGTATGTGCCTCGGATGGACTCCGGCCATGAGAGCAGACAGCGAAGTCGTTCGGGTAACGTCAATGTCGGCGAGGATACTGAGAATATCCCCCGTCGTACTCCCTCTCATCGCACTCGCAATACTCCGAGACCCCCGTTAGCTCCCCCTCCTTCGAATGACGAACCTCAGCGAACCTGGTGGGAATACGGATGAGTCTATGAACGCTTCTGTCCCGGGGTTCCATAGAGCAGCTCGGAGCAGATTGTTGATATTGTACGATAGGTTTCTGCTGGGATGCATGAGGACGATCCATATGCCGGGAATTCGGGCTCAGCAATCCAATACCACGCCGTATAGGTTGGCCTGCGTGACTTGATTCGTGCAGGACTGTGTTCGCGCTATATGCCAGTATAAGCAGCAAGGATAGTTCTAAACGTGAATGGGCTTCATCTTGGCAAATATTCCAATCCTTCGTCATATACACGAGACGAATTAGTTCCTCTTTTGTGTAAAAAGAGGTCCAAAAATACGGCACGTATTTTTTGTAAAAAGAGCTGAGCAGTTATTCTGGGAAAAAGTGGTGCTATTTGCAGCATGAAAAGGCATGCTATTTTTACAACTTTTTGAGCATAAAAATAGTCCAAATATTCCCTATGTAAATAGGCCATTTAATCTTGTATATATTTTCTTGCAAAAGAGGTAGCTATTTTCAGCTTAAATAGTGATCGCCCGCTCATGCTATGCAGTCATACCATGAGCGGGCGATCACAGCGGGCGATCACTATTTTGTCTGAAAATAGGCACAAGAATAGATACCCTACTTTCCTTGGAAATATTTGAACTCCTCCCACACTCAAAAAAGAGTCAAATAGTACACCTTTTCGTGCTGCAAATAGCACCGCTTCTTCCCGGGAGAAGTGTTCTGCTCTTTTCGTGAAAAATATTGTATATATTTTTGGACCTCTTTTTGCACAAAAGAGGAACTAATTCGTCTCGTGATATAGATCTCGTGCAGTATCTCAGTGAGCCGGTTAGATGCGTACCCTTCCAAATCTGAGTTTGATGCGCCTTCAAGCGCGCCTCTAAGCGCGCCTCTCCTGACTATCCTGGTTTCACCCCTTCTACCAACGATGGCCCTTAACGACCTTACGACTCCTCCGCTGTATTTTTAGATACCTGGCATCATTCTATACCCTGACACTACTGTTTCTACGCAGCATGTCCTTCAACAAATTCATTCTATACGAGAACAAACTCCGGTTCTACATCGTTGTCTCGAATGCCGCAGACTCAAGACATAAAATCATCAAGATTGATCGTACTACGCAGGGAGAGGAGCTCAATGTTGTTGAAGACGATGCGACGTACAGCGGAAAGCAGATGACTGCTATGCTGAAGATGCTTGAGGATGGAAACAGAGCGAACGGTGGTCTCGGTAAGCCAAAGCTATTCTTTGGAGTCGCCGGTGCGAGTTCCATCTACGAATACGATGAGTGCTTCTAATTTAGATAATGTATAGGATTCATCAGGTTTACTGCGGGGTGGTATATGGTGCTCATATCGAGACGATGCCCCGTGGCTCTTCTCGGTGGACACTACATCTACCACACCGAAGAAGTCGACACACTGGCGGTGTCATCGAACCACAAGGTCGATAAACCCGCTGAGGAGCAGAGGCTTATGAATATCTGGAAGCAGGTCGACCTCACCAAGAACTTCTACTTCAGGTGCGCCGAGCATCTCGGTTCTCTGGTGCTGCTTCATGAACAGTGTATCTAGCTACTCATACGATCTGACATCGACTCTGCAACACAACCTCGCTCGTCCGAATGCCCGCCGAATGTTCAACGACCGCTTCGCGTGGAACTACCATATGCTGACCCGTGCATTCCAAGACTCATCCATGTCGGACAGCGACAAGCAGCGAGATGTACACCTTATATCTCAGTGGATAGTCCCGCTTGTTCATGGGCACGTCGACCAAGCCAGTAGGTCGAGAACCGGCGCAACTTATCCACATGGACGCTGACTCCTGTTGCCAGAGCTGACTGTTCTCGGACGCGTAATTTTCGTTACACTCATAGCGCGTCGTTCAAGACATCACGCGGGCGCACGATATCTCAAGCGTGGAGTTAATGACGAGGTATTTTAAGCTCGTAACTCGTCTTGCGGCTGGCTGACATTCTGTCCAGGGCAATGTCGCAAACGAGGTTGAGACGGAACAGATCGTCTCCGAAATGCTAACTACACCTTTCTACTACCCTGCGCCACTGTCGTCTTCGAGTATCGAAGAGAAGAACCCGAGTCGGCCTCCAAGGCGACCTAGCCCAAATTTTACTAGTTTCGTCCAGGTGTGCATCAGTCAAGGGTTAGAAGGCGATGCGACTATAGCTGACCGAGCCAATAGTACCGTGGTAGTATACCGGTTTATTGGACGCAGGAGACAAACGCTATGGTGCCCAAGCCCCCGATAGAAAGTACGCGCTTTCCTCAATCTAAATGCCGCGTCTCATTCCAGCTAGTCAGCGTGATGGACCCGTTCTACACTGCGGCATCGAAGCATTTCGACGACTTATTTGCGCGGTACGGCGCGCCGATCACGATACTGAATTTGATAAAGAAGCGAGAGCCGCAGCCGCGGGAAAGCAAGCTACTGCAAGAGTATACCAACTGCGTTAATTACCTGAATCAGTTCCTGCCTCCGGGGAAGAAGATGTTGTACCGTGCATGGGATATGAGCTACGCATATAAGCAGAAGACGCTGGATGTCATTGGGTATCTCGAGGTGCGTCGCAGGCATGCTTGACTTCTGTTCATACTCATGTCTGCTGCGTAGGATATCGCAGAAGAGAGCATCATGATGACGGGCTTCTTTCACTCAGGCCCCGAACCTTACAGCCACTTCCTACGGAACGAAATTGAATATGAGTGCGTCATATTACCCTTCGCTCATGGACGGTCTCCTGAACTCACCATCTTTTAATCGACAGGACAACAGGTATAGAAATCCCCTGGCGCAGCCGCATCTCCCTGCAGAATGGCATCTGTCGCACAAACTGTGTGGACTGCCTTGACCGCACGAACGCTGCGCAATTTGTGTTCGGAAAGCGCGCGCTAGGGCATCAGCTCTACGCGTTAGGTGTCGTCGACTCGCCCAACCTGGCTTTCGACAGCGACGCAGTGAACATGCTTACAGAGATGTACCACGACCATGGTGACAGTATGTATATACTTCGCTAGATTGAGAATGCTGTTGATGGTGGGACGATACCATGTAGCGCTGGCGATGCAGTATACAGGCAGTGCGCTTGTCAATCGCGTCGAAACCTACCGCAGAATGCCGCACTGGAACAGTCACTCGCGCGACATCATCGAGAATTTCCGGCGGTTCTATACCAACTCGCTACTCGACGCGGACAAGCAGGCAGCCATCAACCTATTCCTCGGCATTCGGAGCGACCGGCCCATTACGCAGTACGTCCAACGTGGGTCGTACCGCGCCTGGTTCAAGAAAGAGCATCTTGAACCTGCGTACGACATCGACGAATGTGAGAGGGGCATCCAACAGTTTGTACAGGAGCGGGGCGACTTCTGGGTCGAGTACTATCGCCCGCTGCTGTTTACCAGCCTGGGGAAGCACTTCGTGTATCTGATGAATAGTACACTGAAACTGCCTGGGTGGGTCCTGAAATCTTGTATCACTGTTTCACACTAACGCAGAGAACATACCTATAGGAATAGTACACATGACATCGAGCAGCACAGGAACCCAAGCCCGTTCATGCCCAGACACATCACTGTGCACCATCCACCGCGGTAGGCATCAATTGGACGGAAGTAAAGATTAAACTAATCAGCTTTGCAGCCTCATGGATGGCGTGCGTCGCTGGATGTCCTCAGGCTCGCCAACAAACCGAAAGACCACACATGTCGAAGCGTGGCATGTCCCACCATCCAAGGCGTCTAAGACGGAGCTCAGACCTGACAAGAATTCGACTGAGTACATTGCCGCCGCGCTCCTCGATCCGAACGTTCCGCCCGAGGAAGAGGCGGAATACGAATCGTACGTCACTCAGTGTCAGGAGCTCTCGCGTGCGCCGCAGGAGTACGCTGCGCGTAAGGACCAACGGATATACGACGGCGCAGTTTCGCTAGCGAGCTGTGGCACCGATGCTGCCAGTGTGAGAGATAAGGACGTCGACCTATACACAGGATATGTGGAGAAAGGCCGGCCGTTCACCTCGGATTTCGTGAGTGAGAAGGAGCAGCTTCCCGTTCAATTTGACTACGAGAAGTGGCTAAGTGGTATCTCGTAAGCATAGCTGTTTGCATTTCGCAAAGTGCAAACTTGTGCATGGACTACACACCCCTGTATTAAGTTTCATTCGGGAGGAACATGGTTACAGTGCCTATGCGATGTCAGATGGGCGTGCTAAGTGAGGCTCTGCAATCGACAGCGCTATCCTCGGAGAGGCATGGTCTCGTCCATATAAGCTCGATATGGTCTGTGTGGTTTTCAATATTTCTCAGATTTCGTGAACGTCAACTTTTGTACCATGAGCAGATGGAGGGGACAAGGCAACAGCGGGGACACGTTGGCTGCATAGTCTGCTGGGTGGTATGGTTTTCATTATAGACATACCTGGCACTGGATCCAAGTGTTATAACGCATTGTGATAAGCAGTTCACGGAACTTATCTACCAGAATCTACCGTGTTACTGTAGGGAGTGTCCCTAGGCAGATCTTATCTAATCATTCAATGATAGTTGATCGTGTACCGTGCTGCGCGCTTAGCTGCCGTCGGCGTGTGCACCACAGCAGAGAATGGCCAAGTGCGTGCGTGTAGACCGCGAAGAAGACGGCAAAGATGAGTGCGACCACCAAGATCTGGATGGGAACCGTCTCGCATCCCCAGCTTTTATCCAACGGCGCATGGGCCCAGCCAGCGATCCGAGTTTGGGCGCGACCGCCTTCCGTATGGCCGAGCTGTCCTTGCGGGCCTCTGTTTCATTCGGAACGCCCCTTGAGACACTCACGCATCGAGTGTCCTTAAGAGTGCAGTCCATGTTATTCGTTAGCCCGTTGGAAAGATGTCTGCTGCAACGTCTCAAGACCTCCCCACAGCGGGGTATGAGATGTCTACAACTAACAACGACGGCTCTGGTCCCAAACCCGAGCCAAAGAATGCTTCGGTCTGGCTCTCCATGTTCGCCCTCATGATTGCCACGTTCTTGGCGGCCATGGACACGGTACGTGGAATGTGTATGCTATTCCTCGAAAGGATTTGCTCTAACTGCGACACACTTTGCCTACTCAGAGCGCGGTCTCGACCGCCTTGCCCACGATAGTGAACCACTTCAACGGCAAGGAGTTCGTCTGGGTCGGTCCCGCGTACACGCTTTCCGGCACCGCATTCTTACCCATGTCTGTCCACCTCGCCAATATCTTCGGACGACGCCCCATCCTCCTGGTGTCGTTTCCGCTCTTTGCCCTCGGTAGCGCTCTCTGTGGCGGAGCTCAAAGCATGTCGATGCTCATCGGAGGACAAAGTAGGTTTGCTGCATATAACAGTCTACGGCGGCGTTATACTCACCAAGTTCACCTATGGCGGTGCAGGGAATTGGCTCTGGCAGAATCCTGTCTCTGACGGAGATCATTCTGTCCGATCTCGTTCCTATGCGAGAGTGAGGGGCGTACCAGGGCATGATTGGACTGGTGTGGTCTACTGCTTCAGTCATCGGCCCTCTGGTCCTAAGTACGAGTATATCAGGAACGTTGACGAATTGCTCACGGAGAGATCAGGGCGGCACGTTTGCGCAGAGACGCGACTGGACTTGGCGTGGGCTATTTTGTACGTCTGGACGCCGCCGTTAGTCTTGGATGAGTTCACATACTCTCTGCGGACCTCAACCTTCCACTGACGGGCATCTCAATGGTCTTGTGTCCTTTCTCCCTCAAGCTCAAAGTGCCACACTCCACATTCAGGGAGAAGGTCAAGAGGATAGACTGGATGTATGCACATCTTCTCATCAGTATCGCTATCGATTAATCAATTTTATCATCCAGCGGGAATGTATTGATCATAGGTGGCAGCACATCGGCACTTCTGGGCTTGACATGGGGAGGTGTGCGTTTCCCATGGAGCTCCGCTGAGGTATTAGTTCCATTAATCCTCGGATTGGCTGCTATCTTGGCTTTCATGGTCTACGAGGCCTTGATACCCACAGAGCCCACTATTCCATGGCGCGTACTCAATAACCGTACGACCATCATCGGGTAAGTTGCGACTCACACTGTTCGATTCATCTCGGTATACTTAGTTTCTTTCCAAGATACAATGAGACTAGTCTGGAGATCTGCTGTGTAAAGTCACTTTTGTTCCCAATTAGCTACATGATTCGCGTGCAGTTTAATTGAATACCTCCAAATACATGCAAATTCTCCGTACAGCAGCGAAGCTAGAAAGTATAAGCCCGCATCCTGCGGCACGAAAGAGATGGGTGAGTATGGGTATGCTATGACACTTGCCTGCGTGACGCACCCTACTAGCTTCTCGGTGACAATGACCCCATCCTCGACAAGGAGAAATGACATCTTACCCTCTAAGCTAACATCAGTCCACGTCTAGAGATACAGTGCTCCTGTGCACATCGGCTCTGCCCAGACGTCCCCGTTCGACTGATCGAAAAGTCCCAAGATGCGATGTACACTAGGCTTCATTGTCTCGTCATCTTCGTCGGAGTCGTCGACCTCCATGTCCCGGAAGATCGCTGCGGATTCGCCGAAATGGCTGATTTGGATGACATCAACGAAGTGGCCTTCGGAAAGCGGGCCTCCTGTACTGCACCAGACCGCCCAGCTCGTGGCGTATCGGGCACCGTGCACAACTCTTTCGAAGCGATTGTTCGACACATTGACGAGTCGGCACTCGTGCGCATAGGCCTGCCACGGTAGCTGGGACACTGAGAGAGCGGACGCGCGATGTATCTGGATCTGTGCAAGCTGGCGGAGAATGACTCGGCCCGGGATGAGAAGGTCGTACTCCAAGTCGTTACCGTGGCTGTCTACAGCGCAGATGCACACACACACGACGGGTGGTCCCGCGGCGCGGAAGGCTGAGCCTTCGATCTGTGCCGGTAGGGCAAAAGGACTGTTGGGCTGACAGTCGACCGTGACGGAGATGTCTGACGAGACTGTCGAGGCCAGCGGCGGCAAATTTAGGACAAGCGATGCATGGTGGTGCATGGCGTCTGGAAAGAGTAGCCGCTCGGCGGTGGGGACACCATAGCAGTCGAAGACTGCCAAAACGCGTACATGGCTTTCTCTGCCAGTTGACACGAGAACATGTCGAGAGTCGAGCAGCGCGAAGTCCAACGGACTGACCTGTGCTAGGGCGTTCGTCGTGTCCAAGGTAATGTCCATTCCTAGGTGCTGCGCAGGGTAACAATTAAGATATGCTGGCAAGGGACCCAACGAGACGATAGTGCGCACTAGAAGCAATAGACCCTGTCTCCAATCAAAAACCCAAAGCTCACAGAATATGCCTCCCTTAAACGAGTAGTGGGGCGCAATGATGTCTCCGCAAACCTGCAGCTTGAAGTTCCCTTCAACCCTCTCCGTTGGAAGAGTAACGCGAATGGTGGCGTGTTTTGTAGCGGGATATGGCTCACCGGTCGCACATTTTAGTAAGTGCAGGATAACCGCGTTATTTTCACTGGGGCTAATCATGACACATGAGCCACCAGAGGATCGTTGTTGTTCCGAAACCACGTGGCCACACCTTTCAAGAAGAGCTAGCAGATCTTGATACCAGTCGAAGGTGAATGTAAAAAAAATCAGGGAGACCATCCAATGTCCAACTTTTCGGTCTGACACCTCTTAGCTTCGCCTCCAAGGCGTAGAACTCGATGGTAGTGTGTGGTTTGGACACAGAACTTCGTTGCGCAAAGACAGGTCCGGAGACACAGGGACGTAATCTAGGTCCGGGTAAGCTGCATTCCCCGTGCCAGGTCGGCCTCTTCCATGTTTGGCGCCAGGCCGCCAGCCTTTCCATTATGTCTTTGATAGAGTACTGCGACCTTGATGAATCATCTACTGCCCCTGTCAGGGAGCACTCAACCTTGTATTGAAGCTCTGGAGAGCTTCGGACAAGCTCGCAAAAGCTTGAGGACACCTTGTTCGAAATGGTGCGGCAGATGAGGTCAAAGCATGCGTTGAATACGAAGCATGCGTACTCGTTGAAAGCGAACCACGTCGAGCGTAGAAAGGTTGTGAAGGATTTCTATGCACACTTCCAGAGGTAAATCTTGGAAACAGGCCATACTGCAACTGTTAGCGAAGATAGAATTTGTGCTGGTGAGAGGAAAGTCGGGCCTGAGGTGATGTTGATCCCAGGACCTGCAGCGTGGGAAACCGCCGGGGGCCGTATACAGTTAAAAATATTTTCCACATGATTTTCTGCGGGTCTATTTCGCGTACATACTGCATCTACCTGGATCAAGCCAGCGAGCATAACTTCGATCTCATGTCTGAACAAATTCCCTGTCGGTATTGCACCACCACATTGGAACGTCACCCATGTCTCAATTAGTCAAAGTACTGCACGAACGTACTCAGGCTACGTGCCATGTCAGTTATGGCCATGCAACGTTAGCGTCTCTCGTCCGTGCTGCCGTCTGATATCGTTCCGATGTTGGACGTATTCCAGTGCGTCGAGCTGGCACGGTATCAGCAGTGTTGAGTGTGGTACCATATCTGTCTACAGGGCTTTCCTTACTGGCTATGACACACCCTATTCTTCGACGCATACCATGTATCTACTGCGTAGCCCGGTGTACTCATGTAAATCTTCTGGAGATGGTTATGACGGAGGCTATCAAACGGATGACTGCGGAAAGGGGACAATTCTTGATGAAGGCACAGTGGACCACCCAGCGCCCACTAGGGCACATTGCACGTGCAGCCTGCAAACGTCAAGCTTCCAGGACGGTGACGAGATGATATTAATGCGAGACATGCAGCAAAGGGGCCAAGCATGGTGTTCAATCGTCCATATTCCCCAGAATGGGTTCAACATAATCACCTGCCGATAAAGCACGCACGACAAGTTCGAAAGATAACTGCCCTCCCACACGCCCAGACCACATCGCAAATTCATTACTAGCTGCGACGCGCTTGCCTTTCACCCAAGCCTCAGGCCTCAGATACAGGGAACCATGGGGAGCGTGGTGTCCAGAGCAAAGTTGATCATAGGGGCAGCCTACATGATCAACCAGTTCCTTGACCAATTATCCAGACGCATCAAGGAGTCGCCTGGATTGCCTGTAATGAACCCTAGTTTACCCTTCTGGACGATACCAAAGTCCCCGATATCGTCGATTCAACAGCCGTTACCCGACTATGTCGATACTGTGGTCATTGGGTCCGGTATTACCGGTGCCTCGTTCGTGTACAATGCACTCTCCAGGGACGATTCAATACGGGTGCTGATGCTCGAGGCGCGCGACGTTTGTTCTGGTGCAACTGGGAGGTGCGTGCACAATCCGTGTTTTCACTTCAGCAGTCTGGATAGATAGGTTAGGAATGGCGGTCACATCAATCCTCCGCTGTGGAATGACTGGAATTACCTCAAAGCGCAGTATGGAGAGAAGGATGCGCGAATACTTAATAGCTTCCGACTGGCCCACGTCCGAGAGCTGCAAGCTATTGCCTCTCAGGAAGACATCTTGAAAGAATCGCAGGTCCGGGTGACAGAGCACTTGGAAGTGTTCTTTACGCAGGACGACTTCACGGAGGAGTGTGAAGCTTTGGAAGAATGGAAAGGGGACGTACCCGAGGTGGCGCAAGAGTACATCGCATATGCTGACACAGAGGCACAAGAAGTACGTTCCCTTCTCTCAGACACTTTGAAGACTCTCTCATTTTTAAGCAGAAGTTTAGTCTTTCTATCAGAGTAGCAGGATGCATTTCGGGCCCGGGCGGTGCCATACACCCTTATCGCTTCGTCACATGCCTCCTGGTCAAGCTCCTGGATCGGCACTCTGAGAGGATAGTCGACTCACTACAGACTACCCTTCTCCTCAGTCTGATACTAGAGCAGGTTCTTTATCACGGCCCACACGCCCTGCACAGACATCAAAGCCCCCACCGCCTCTATCCCGTACTACACTGTCTGCACGCCGCGCGGCAACGTACTGACGGCGCACGTCGTGCACGCAACGAACAGCTGGGTCTCACATCTCGTCGCACCAATGCGCGAGAAGGTCGTGCCCATCTGTGCGACGATGAGCGTGCAGCGGCCGGGGATGGCGCTCGGGCGCGCGACGCTGGACGGGCAGCGCTCGTACGTGTTCCACCCGGGCGGACTCGGCTACGACTACCTCACGCAGCTCCCCGTGGGCGAGCATGAGCTCATGTTCGGCGGCGGCTGGGCGTCCGCGTTCGACATCGCGCTCGCGGCCCTCGGCGCGAGCGACGACAGCACGTTTAGCGTTGCCGTCGCGAGCCACCTCGCCGGCGCGCTCCCCCTCTACTTCGGTGAGCGCACGTGGGGCCGTGAGAAGGAGCCCGAGAAGGCAGAGGACGATGGCGGCGTGCAGTGGGGCGAGGGGCGCACGAAGGCGGAGTGGGGCGGCATCTTGGGCATCTCGGCCGATGGGCTACCCTGGGTCGGACGCCTACCGCAGAAGGTTTCTGGTAGGTCTGAGCCGCCCGCGTCATCCACCCCACGCACGGCGGCGAGAGAGGCCGGCCTGTGCAGTGAATTGACGGCGGCGCCCGGCGAATGGATATCGGCGGGATACACCGGCGAGGGTATGACCCACGCCTGGTTGAGCGGCAAGGCCCTCGCCAGCATGGTCTTGAACCGGGAAGACGAGCTACGAGAATGGTTTCCGGAGATGTTACGCATGACGGAGAAGCGATGGAAGCAGGCAACCTTGGGGGACTTTCTCGTCAAGCGGCTCAGCTCGGGTTGATTGTACGTCTCGTCGTATTTGCGCCATCTGTACTCAATATGCACGTCCTTCGCCGTTGACTTCGCAGAGAATGAAATGAAATTGTATGACAAACACTGGCTGGAGAGCTCGAGCATGAATAGACATGATAGTTAGCTTAGAGAGAGGAGAGGGGGCAGCTTCCACAAAGTCCGTCCCGAAGATCGGCGAAAGAATGCAAGGGAGTGAAGGATGGGCGAAGAAACACGGCACCAGTACCACGACAAGATGAAACATGAGAGACCATGCATCATAATATTACATATTGAGGGATTGGCTGGGATGAGTGAGGGGTATATAGGTTGAAATGAGATCGTGGATATCTGATCCAAACGTGCGCGTGGGATGAACATGTGGATGTAGCGATAACCGGGAGTAGACGGCGGGCAAGAAATGAACGGGGTCTTGAACGATGATTCCGACAATCATGAACACGCCGACAGTTATGAGCGCGAAAGCCGGTCACAATTTGGGAAACTCTAAACTCTATACGAAGAATTGTGTGCTGCAAAATTCATAATCAGTGGGAGAATGCCACCACAGAAGACGTATGACGACGTACTGCACACGACTGGCGGCGTGCACCTCCATTTCTTCCATCTTGTAAGAGTTCAACTCTTCCTTGATGCGTTGTGCGAGGGCGGGTGTCAATCGACTCCATGTCGCGGGCTCACTGCGTCTATCATAGACTGAAGAAGGGAACGTGTCATATACCGAGAGGTTGGACGCAAACGCCAGCCGTTTGGCAGGAGCTGTTGCGGAACGGTGAGTCAATGTTGGAGCGTTGGACTGGAACATCGTCGAAAGGGCCGGGGCGGACGAGTTGGGGTGACTGAACAGCGTCTTCTCGGGTGTTGATGACCGTGGGGCGGAGTTATCGCCCTTAGGCATGTCCTTCTCGAACGGCAGCGGAGGAATGAAAGACGGCCCACTTGATGGCCCACTCGACAGATGGTGCTTATGCAGACCATCGATATGGTCGGGGTCGGGGGATGGGATGCGGGCCAATGGCCCAAGGTCGGGGTTAAGGTGAGGGGGAGAGTCGTATGAGTTCGAACGAACACGGCCGAACGGCGGGTGCGTAGCGACGTGAGTCTCCTGGTCATAATCACGACCATCTTCTCAAGCCAAGATGAGCTGAAAGTCGCATGTATCACATCGAAAACGACTCACTCTTCAGGATGCTTTTGGCCGGTCTTCGTGACCGCTCCGCACTGCGGCGCACACCAAGTGCCCACGGCTCCATGTCATCGTTGTCTTCTAGCCGTGCATCTTCTAGTCCTTGGCGGATAGTAGCTTCTTCGTCCTGCAGTCCCTCCCAGTCGTCGTCATCCTCCTCCCACCCCTCGTGGTTGTACGGCGGATGGTCATACTGCCCATCATCGCTGTCCGTGTCGTCATCCTCGACGAGCACCCGCGTTCCATCATCGCTCACCCCTGTCAGCACCTTTGATGGCGCCGTCTCCCCATTTCGGCTGGTGGTGTTCTTTTCCCAGGTCGTAGGAACATGCGGATTCGATGAGCTCTGCGCCTGCGTGGCCGCAGCCAACGCTTTGGCTTTGGCTTCGGCCTCCGCCTTAGCCTTGGCTGCCGCCTCTGCGTTGGTTTTTAGCGTGTGCTGTCGTGCGAGTCGCGCAGCAGGACTGAGCCCGGACAGGTCAGCGCTCCACTCTCCCACATCTAGTTCCGCCGTGGCATGCGAGACAGCGGGCTCCGACGCGTTGCTCTTGCTGTCTTTGCTCTTCTTGCTCTTCTTCCCGACATCTTCGCCGTCCTTCTCCTTCTTGTCCTTCTCCTTGAACAACGAAGTAATGCCTGCAAGCGAGTTACGACGTGTTAGCTTGCCGATGTTGCCCAGCTTGCGGATAACCATCGACGCTGACGACATCGTAGACGAGAGGGAGATGTTGTCTGTTGAGCGATTCAATCGAGAGTTGAATAGCGAGCGCGACTTCTTTTTCTGCACGGTTGCCGTGGAGTCGTCGTCGCCTGCGACGGTACTGGCCCCATCCCCTGCACTCGTTTTCCCGTTCTTCGCATGTTTGTGGGCCTCGTCTTCGTCCTCTTCTCGCAGCGTTGACCCGGCGTTGAGCGACAGAGCACGCCGTAGACGACCCTTCAGACCACCACTACGCACGCCAGGCGCCGGCTCAGCCATCATCGCAGCGAGATCGCTGTCATCGCGCGACATGCGCTTCTCGGCGGCAGTGTAGTTTCCTTGAGACAGTGGGGAAGGTTTCCGCAGTTGCGCCGACGTTGTAGCAGACGACGAAGCCGCGGGCGGCCGTGACGTACCGGTGGAGGAGTTGGAGGAGGAAGATGTCGTGCGCTGGTGTGGTCTGGGTTGCGGCGCCGATCCAGAGCTGGATGGATTCCCGCTGGGGCTGCGACCGTTGGGAACAGGTGATCGACCATTGGTGCTCGGCGATGCAGAAGATCCCTGGATACTGTTGGTGCGCTGGCGGGTGCCGCCGGAGTTAGAACCTGTTGAATTGACAGAGGTTGATGACCCAGCGGCATCCGCCCGGATATACGGTGGTTGGAAGGGACCAGGCCCACGCCAGTCGGCACCAGGAGAGGGCTGAGGAGCATCTCGATGTCGCGAGTCCTGGCGATCTGGACGACGATAAGGGTGGAAACCGTTGTATTGGTTCTGGTGACCGCCGTGATCACTTTGGCCGGACGAGTAACTGTTGGGCAACTGCGAGGGATGGGCGGGAGGGGTGCCGCTTGGGAATGGGCTGTAGCCCGTCATTGGGGACGGTACGAAGTAGTCGCCTGCACTAGCGCTTCCGGTACGGCTTCGCTGGCCAGGATGTGGAGGAGGAACGTGGGACATTTGATGTGCTTGGTGGTGTGCATTCTGCACCATTTGTTGATAAGCCCACTGGGCGGCGAGCTGCGCATTAGCTGGATCGTAGTACGGATTCTGAAAGTGCATCTGTCCCTGTGCAGGATGGCCATGGAGTTGGTAGGGCTGTTGATGGTGATTTTGGTAGAAAGAGGGGTAATATTGCTGGTGCGGGTGTGGTGCCGTCCATCCTGCCTGTTGCTGCTGCACGGGATAAGGGTACGGTTGCTGGGAGACCGGTGAGGAAGTCGCAGAGTGATCGTTGGCGGGCGAGGACCGCTGACGAGGAACAGCAGTGTTAATAGCGTTGGAAGGCGCGTCCATTTGCAGATCTCGAGGTGGGTGCCAGTCTTGGGGAGCGAGAACGGCCATGGACAGAAAACGGTGCAAACGGAGTAGGTGGTCAGTTCAAAACGCTCGGACCAGGTCTGGCGGCGTCCCCCTCGCTGTTATGGCCAGAGCAAAAACGAGTAAAGAGTCAGACTCGCTTCCAACAAGCGAGTGCAGGAGACGCACTAAAGACCGGGGAACCTTTTGAAGAGACTAAAAGAGAGAAGACGAAGCAAAGCAAAATGTTGGGACGGGGGCTGGGGACTGCGTCGACGATGAGGATTAGCAGATGGTCGACGACAGCGACAGCGACGAGGAAGATTGAAACGGCGGCAGGAACGACTCAACCCCAAGCGTGACAGCGCCCTAACTACCGATTTCGATATTTATTTATTTTCCCCATCACAAGCTATCAGAAGTTATTCGGAAATACGGATACTCGTCCACTTCGGGGACCATCTCCGCACCTTGCGGGACGGAGGCAGTGTCCTCGAGGCCATCCTGAGCACCAACGCTTGCATACGCTGCACCACGGACACACCACGAATTGTTATCGAGGTGAGCGTGGACTTTTCGACGCCCTGCTCGCTCTTCATGTCTCGTTCGGAGAAATCCAGGTCTCGGAGTCTCGGACACGGCACGCTCAACCTTGTTTGTTGCCATGACATGCCCTGGGAGGCGAAAACAATGACTACAGCTCCTTAAGGACAAACCGACGGTCGACGGTCCCAACGTCCAGCTGCTGTCCTTCGTTTGTGTTTTTCCATTTGCTGCAGGCGTTACATGAATACTTAATCTCCCCTTGATATTCAGCTTGCGTCACAAACCGACCGAGCGATCGCGTCATGCTCCCGCCCCCCGCTCGCTGTGGCGCGCCGACGGAGGGATCTCAGATTCGGGATCAATTAAGGGGGCGGCTATCTCCTGAGATCGTCCCGATCTTCCGCTACTCCGCAACCGAAACCAAAACCGCTCTGTCGTTGCTCGCGGCAGTCGTCACAGAATTATCGAGAGCAACTAAGCGAACTCTTTCGAAGTGATCTACCGCTGCTCAAGAAGTGGTTTCATTGCGATACTTCATGATCTCACCTCAAGAGGGGGTTTTCGCTGGTTCAGGGCGATCAGCAGCTAGACGCGTCGCTTAGGTGACTGCGTACAAACGTCAGTATTTCCACGAGATTTAATTGCGCTTCTGACTGGTGCCATGCAGAACACGACACCCCAATGCACATGGCGTGCGTCCGCCTCGAGCGTGTTTGGCCGGTGCTTTCACTTACTTTGAGTTAGTTCGTCTTTCTCGACACCGTCACGCGCCATTTGATCGTGGATGGTTTCTGTCACGGCTTACGTTGCCGGACGGATAGAGGGACCTTTCAATGTAAGAATGTTCACATTCTGGATTTAAACTACTTAGTTCTAACAACGGATTTGCGTGGGACATAATTCCGGACGTAAAACCCAAGGCTTTCCCACACCCTTCGTTCTTCTCTAGCCACCATATTTTCGGGCCGTTATGCTCAGTTATTCCCATGCTCGAGGTGTGATCTCATTGGCAAACTAACTCATGCATCTCAACTCCCGCAACCAAGGCGCTACACAACAACCCGCAGGCAAGTGCGTCGATTTTGCTGCCAGTGCAGTCCAGCTGAACAGTTTTCGATACTAGCCGTGCTGTACAGTTCTCACCCCGTATCGTTTGATGCCGCCTGCAGGCACCCGAGGTCAAACGAACGAACGACTTCCACCAGGGGCGTCAGACACGAATCAGAAGGTCCCTCAGAACAATAGTGACCTGCCCGAGAGTCGCGCGTTGCTGCGGACACCGCGATCAAAGTTCTCACCCCTCTGAGAAGGCTCCAGGGTGTGTTCTCTTTGTGGCTTACTCGCGTGGAGGAGCACGGGTACCGTTTCCAGCCGACTCGGTGTAACGACCTTCTCTATCTCCGCGACGCACTTCCATGCTCGTTATCAGCTGGTTGACTGATCGCACATTCTTTGCCGGCCGTTGCGGCACATTATCATTATCTCCTGTGGATATGAGGTCGTTTCATATGTATGGTTCGCTATCAGCGATAATAAATCGTTCATCATAGATTCTAGTAGCAAGTCGCTGATATCGACATGGGTGAAATCTCTCCCATTTTATTGTATTTTATTGGAAGGGCGCTCGGGGCCCTGTCATGTGATAGCGTAGCGCCCACAGACTACATCATTGCAGTCCGCCTGCCTTCGGAGACTTCTCCCTGGCTTCCGCATGGTATAATCCAGAGCCGTCCTGCGAACGGGGACGCTTTCTTTTCCCACCCCACCATGACCTCGAAGGATTGGCAGAAACTGTGCGCAGAGCGCAAGGAGAAGCAACTGCAATCTATCCCGAAGGAATGGCTTATTGAGACCCCGCCCGAGAGTCAGGCGAATGTCCTGGACGTACCAAAGACTTGTGGTTTATTGACAGAGCGTGAGCTGGAGATAACCAATACGACTGACGTCGACACTTTGCTCGGAAAGCTCGCTACCAGCCAATGGTCGGCTGTGGAAGTCACCACGGCATTTTACAAGCGTGCGATCGTTGCGCAGCAAGTGGTGAGTTGATTCCATCTCCGGTCTAAACTCGGTCTCCCAGTAATCTAATTTTGGACATACCAGACAAACTGCCTGACTGAAATATTCATCGAGAAAGCGCTTGCGCGAGCCAAAGAGGTCGATGAGTACCTGCAGCAGACCGGCAAGACCATCGGGCCCCTGCATGGTCTCCCAATCTCCCTCAAGGACCAATTCTGCATCAAGGGAATGGATACCATTATGGGTAGGTTCCTCAGTGTGGCATCGGATTCGAGGGGCTCACAGGTTTTGCATGGAGGTTATGCTGGGTGGATAAACAAGCCCGCCAAGAAGGATTGCGTTCTGGTCGAGATCCTGTACGACGTCGGCGCGATCCCTTTCGTGCGGACCAACGTGCCGCAGACGCTGTTGGTGCGCTCGCTTGGTGCTGCCCTCCTGTTTCAGGCTCACGTGTGCCTCGCAGTGGGGCGAGACCTACAATCACGTCTTCGGACAGACGACGAATCCGATTAACCGGTACATGACCCCCGGTGGCTCCAGCGGCGGTGAAGGGGCCCTGGTCGCCATGCGCGGCAGCCCACTCGGCGTTGGCACCGACATTGGCGGGTGCGTTGCTTCGCTCGCTGCCTCTACTCACGGGTTAATGATAGACACCCAGATCTGTGCGCATCCCCAGTGCATTTTGTGGCTTATACGGCTTCCGGCCGAGCTACGAACGCCTGCCGTATCAGGGTGCCGTGAACGCCCAGGTCGGGCAGGAGAGCATTTCGTCTGTGCTCGGCCCGATGACAAACGCACCCTCCGGCGTGCGCCGCTTCACGAAGGCCATCATTGACGCGAAACCATGGAACCGCGACCCGCTCGCGGTGCGCAAGCCATGGAATGGCCGCGAGTATGAGCTCGAGGAGCACGGACATGGCCTAGGCATGTGTATCGCCATCATGTGGGACAACGATGTCGTGAAGCCCCACCCGCCGCTTATCCGCGCGATGGAGATAACAAAAGCGGCGTTGGAGGCCGCAGGGCACAAAGGTAATTATTTTCGTCCTGCTGACATGCACTTTGGCTGAATGCTAAACAGTAATTGACTGGATTCCGCACCGCCACATGGAAATTTATGTGAACACGGTAAGCTAGTCACCGTGCCACAGGTCATTTGACTGAAGCGCAGTGCAGGAGCGCATCTTTGCGGCAGACGGCGGACATGACTATCGGACTGATTGTGAGCTGTCGGGCGAGCCGCTGATCCAGACCATGAGCCCCACAGAGGACGCACACGAGTATGCCCTGGATCAACCGCTGGCCAAGACTGTCATTGGGAAGCCAGTCCTCATTTCCGCATACGATGTAAGCAGTCCCCTTCTATATTTACCTGAGATTGCCTCTCACACCATGGAAAAGCTCTGGCAGCTCCACAGAGAGAAGCGTGAGCTGCGTAAATCCTTTTTGGATTACTGGGAGGCGACAAAGGCCACGACTGAGACCGGCCGCCCAGTGGATGCGATAATTAGCCCGGTGGCGGCGTATACCGCCTGCCCGCACGGTTGCAACTCGTATGTCTACTCTATTCCCTTCTCTCACGGACCCATGGGGATATACCAGTCCGAACTGTGTCTTCGGCGAGAGAAGCCCGCGGGTCGCGCCTACTCAATGACAAATTGGAGCTTACCGGTGCCTGTCCAGCGATGCATTCTACACGACCCTGTGCAACTCGCTCGACCTCACGACATATACGTTCCCTGTTACGTTCGCGGACAAGGAGCTCGACAAGAAGGCGCCACCTCACGAGTTCAGGAACCATGAGGACGAAGCGATATACCACCTATGTAAGTATATCGTGTTCAATGCACGGTGTACAAGGCTAACTCGGCCGCATAGACGATCCCGAACTGTTCCACGGCCTCCCTGTCTGTCTGCAACTCACCGGGCGCACACTAGAGGAGGAGGGCGTCATTGGCATGACCGAGGTTGTAGACCGGGCTTTGAAGGCATACAAATCCATGTAATAGTAAATACTACAGAATCCTGGAGTATAACAGTTGTAGTAACAAAATGCACAAATACAAACATGCACCGTACTACAGCTAATGCTCATAATACGCCACTAATAGTACAGCAAAAAACAAGAAGCACAGCCAAGATACAGAACTGAGCGGACGCGGTCAAGGGCCAAGAATGAAACACTTCCTATAGGACTTCTAACCATTTCTTATGAATCATGAATCGGATGTAGAAACCTCCGGTAACAGTCTTCGTGACACCACCCGTCACCGCACATGCCTTGATCTCACATAGCGTCCGGAATGCGACGTCGAATGGGAAGCGTGACCAATGAATACCGGCTACCTCGTAATCGTGAAGGTAGGCGTATGAGGCCATGTATCGAAGGAGCTCCTGGTCGCTCTGCTCGTAGAAACCTTGGTTGCGCAATTCAGTCAGGAGTGACCGATAATCCTTGGAACTGTTACGGAGGCGGTCCTGCCGCTCCTGGATCGGAAGGTGAGAAATCCTGCTGCCTTCCAACCACGTTATTCGCTTCTCCTTCACGCCCTTCATGATGGCTTCTGCGAGTTCATCTAGACGGTCACCTTTGGACTCCAGTAACTTCTGTAAATCCTCGACGATGCCCATCGTGAGTTCTTCCTTCCGGCCTTGGTCAGCCTCTTCAAATCCTGATGTCCGGCTCAGGTGGGCGCTAATGACCGCCGCGAGATTGCTCGTGCGACCTTTTCTCAGCTCCCGAGATCGAGTCGCGCGCTCCTGGAGCTCGTTCCACGGCTTAACAAGGTCGGCATCCGGTGTCACGTAACTTGCTGCTCGAAGCCGTTCGTTGATCACGTCTTCCAATCGGCCTTTTTCTACCTCCAAAAACTCCCTCAGCCCGTCCATGACGAATTTCCTGGATGCCTTCTTGGGAATCCACACCTGAGGCACCTTCAACTTTGGAGAGATGATCTCTCGTTTCCATGCTGGCTTCCCTTGGGCTTCGTAGTGCTTCTTGTCCTTGCCCCACTGTTCGGCCTTGACCGTGACACCGGTTTTGGAACCATCAAGAACAGCACAAAATCTGAGAACATCGTCATTAGCATCGTGGGAAATCCATGTGCAATTAAATACTGACAGATATGCCAGGCGGATGGCTTCTGTCGAGCCGTACCCGTGCTGGTATACGGCATTTTCCCAAAAAGTGGAGTATTTTCCCACGAGAGAAGTGTTCTGCAGTGGACCGAGCAACACGCGTTGTAACTCGAAGATTCGTTGCTTCCGGGGCGCAGTGTCAGGTACTCTCCGTAGGAATGACTCAACAGACTCGGTGTTCTTCTCGAGGCCGAGCTCAACAGATTTCGGGGGCGTCGCGAATGCCGGATCGGCGGGCTGGAAGCCGTCGACGAGCTCTGGATTCCAGAAGACTTGAACGCGATCGCCGTCGTAGTCGCCTTCGGTAAGCATAAATCAACATATTGAAGCCAGTAGCGATAAAAATTACACGCACCGCCACCGAGCATGCTTAGCAGATGTCTATCCAAGAGCTGCGTCTGGACACGATGCCCTTTGGTCGAGACAACAACAAGATCCTTGTAGCCACGTAGCTCACGGCGATTCACTGCTTTGACCTATATATATATAAAGTTGCAAGGGACCCGCTATAAAATTATGTGCATATAAATACCTTCTGTACGTCCGATGGAACTTTGCATGGGTGCCTGGTGATCTATACGCAGATGAGTCGACCCTCTGCACATATATCGATAGAACAATGACACACCAGTACGTCACCGACGATGACATCGGCCTCGGTCTTGCCATCGGCGCTCAATAGAGGCGCAGAAGACTCCACGTAGATCTCGCCAGCCTCTAGCACACCCGTCGGATCTGGGAAGATTGCTTTTGATTAGTGCTACACGTCATGAGGATCAGCAATGGTCGACAGACCTGGGACAGCCCATGCAGAACAGGACATAGGTACATTGACGCGGTACTTGCTGAATGACGTCGTGTTTGCTTTCTTTACGACCTCTTTCAATTTGGCCCTCAGTACCGGTAAACAGTCAGGACTAAATCCGGCGTCGAGGAGTTCCATGCAGGTCTCCTCAAGTGAGGATGGACAGCCGCTGATCGGGTCAGGCCACCAAGCACTCGAGGTCTCGGCCATGGCCTCCACCTCTTCGCCTTCGCGGATGTCGTCGGTGTTGTCGTCGTCAAAAACCCAGCCATGAGCACGCGCGAGGTCCGGACGCTCTCGTGCAAGCCTCGCAGAGACTACACCGCCTTCTTTCGACAAGTTATACCAGAGTGTGAAAAAATCGGTCTTGTGCGACCAGGTCGTCAAGCCGTCGACCTTCTCCTGCAAACCCGTCTTGCTGAGGTCCTTGATGACGCCCAGACTGACGCCATTCTCGGCGAAGTTAATAATCGTTTCTGTCGAGAGCGATGCAGGGTATGAAAGGTGGGCGGCGCGCAGAAAGTCGAGCGTGAATAGGGCCGGGTCTCCGCTGTTAGGTGGATACTTAATTTTAAGCTGAGACGCTCGTATCCAAACTTCGGGACGGCCTTCCTTCGAAGCCTGGAAGTGTTCGGGGTGTTGGAGGAGAAGCCCCTGCATTATGGTATCAGCATTCCTGTACTCACGTCTTCAATGCAAGTCAGGGAGGTACTCGCCTTAGCCCCATTGAGCCGCATCTGTACCGCAAGAGGAACTGTCCTCCAATGGAACTGATGTTGCAGAGCGCGGAAAAAGTCATAGTTCGCCAGACCACAGCCATCTGTCATGGTCAAATCGGCAGGAGCTTTGCCTTCCCCCTTGTATCCTTCCGAGACTTCCGAACGCGCTGCTTCAGCATGTACATCCAACAGAATGATAGCTGCGGCGTACCTATATCGGGAATGTGATGAAGATGCGTCGGATCAATTCGAATACCAGGAATCGATGTCGATAGGCCAAGGCTCAAACGAGCACTCCATTTGGCCATGGTCTATGGTGAACAACGTCGATACTGCCCCGGAAGCTCATCAGAGTACGTGCAACTTACTTGTTCCGAATTAAGCTGCAAGGGGTTGTACCAATTTATGAACTCGAGGAAGTCCTGACCAGAGCACCAGCTCTGATATTTTGTGGTTCGGTCGGCCTGTGCATTCTTGCTATTTAGCTCCTCCACGGTTTCGTTCGTCATGATGAGTTGCACAGCGTGCTCTTTGACGTTGAAAGCTCGAAACACATGGCCTCCGATGACGAAGGGTCGAAGAAAGAGTCTTCGTAGAACCTCGCCGTGCCCGTGAACGGCGTTCTTGTTCATGCGGACCCGTACGACGGAATGAGAACCGAACCGACGAGTGATCTGATCTGAGGTCCCTAGGCAGGCACGCTCAAGCTGCAAACGAGGTACGAATTCTGGGGCCGGACCCTTGCTCTTAACCTTCTGGAATGTAAGTCTTATGCCATAATGAATTTTGCCACCAAACCAGTTGTTATCTTGCGGGTCGGAGAGGTAGAATGGGCTGCCTTTTGCCAAACGCATGACTTCTCGCTCACGATCGGATTCGACCCATGGATCCTAATGCATAAGTCTGTAGATGCTCGTCATGAAATATAAACACTCTTCACCTTAGCACCCTTCTCAAGAGAGAAGGCGGACTCGAAATCTGCCTTCCCGTCGGATGGCTGCTTCTTCGCGAGTACTGCAATGCCTTCCGCATCGCTTTTCTCAGCGAGCGCAACCATTCCCTCGTAGCCTATGATATCCCATATCATATTCCCGGCGTTTTGCTGGCGTGCAATCTCCCATTGAATGGCGTAGCCCGCTTGGTGTACGACTTTACGGTACTCTCCTGGGTCAGACTGAGAGAGAGAACGTGTCACAGTAAGCGAGATACAGGACTGCCAGAGACAGTAAACACCCACAATGATGAAAGGGCCATCATCGGTATCAAAGACGGCTACGTCGGATACAGACTTTCGCATCTTTGGAGAGGCTGCATTAATGTCTTCAACATCTGCTTTGCGTTTTTGACCCCGTGTGTCTGGCTGTGATGCGAGCTCAGGTGTCGTCAACGGGGTCACATCGGCAGCCTGGAGCCTCTCAGCCTCGTCAGCGACCCGGCGAAGATCGCTCTCATCGCAGAGTGGGTCGAAGGTCTTCCACATGACAGCTGAACTATCGCTCGCCTGCACCCATATTTAATCCATTGTGATCAATGAACGGTGGGCGCATAAACGCTGATTCACTCACGGAAACGGAATCTGACGAGGCAGATCGGCGAAGACGACCGGGCGAGCTTGGAGGAGGCATATTTTGGGCACCAGCGGTGACCGAAGCGTATACTAGCTGCAGGACTACGTGATGATGACTATAGAAACCAAGCTGTTATTCTTTTCTGCGCCATTCACAGTCAGCGGCCACGCCGTGCACGAGCCCGCTACACCACGAGATACGGGGAACTCGACCAGCCAAATATGGGCGCCTTGCACTTTGCACTTGTCCACATCCGCGTCCAATGTCCAAACGGAAACAGAAGGACCCTGAGCTAGACGGCGATGACAGCGAAGTGGTGAGCAATGTGCCGGGCAGGCATAGAGATATCTCTCTGACTTCGGTGTTCAACCCAGTAGAGCCTTGTCGATGTCGACTTCGATTTCTTTGACCCAAATCCGGAGGTGGACTACCTCGCCATGATGCGTCTTGCGAACCAGCTGTTCCAGGCCGACGCAGAGCAACTCAAAGTACACGACCTGACAGATCTTATTCTGTCGCAGCAGAGAGTAGGGACTACCATAAAATGTGACGGAAAGGAGAGCGACCCCTACGCGGTCTTGACAGTCCTGAATCTTCATAAGCACCAGGTATGTTACTTCATTGCGCACATACGGTGAAAAAAGATACATACTTGACTCTTAGGGCAGGCCCTCAGTCAGAGCCATCACCGATTACGCCCTCAAAGGTTCCGCGCCGAATCGCGAGTTCCATGCGGCCCTGCAAGAGCTCCTTGGACCAGCCGGCCTCCAGTCTGCAAACCACGTAGGCTTGGTGTTCTCCGAACGCCTCATCAACATGCCTGTGCAGCTCATGCCGCCTACGTATCGCATGCTCGAGGAGGAGCTTCGGTGGGCAGCGGAGGACGCGAGTACTTCCATTCATGATGTACGCACGCACAGCTGACGCGTGCATAGAATGAGCCCTTCCGGTTCTCGCACTACCTCTTCATCTCTCAGACGTACCGGCCCTCATCGGAGGAAGTTGCAGAGCTCGAAGCCAGCGCGTTCCGTTCCAAGCGTCAGAAACCTGTGCCTAAACCAAGGCAGAACGGTATAGTCCCTATGCACCCAGAGGACGAAGAAATCGCCCAGGTACGCGACTCCGCAGCCTTGAAATACCATGCTCATCATGTTTCCGTAGTTCGCTTCGCATGTGATAGACTTCTCTTATACCAATACGCAACCCCGCGATAGCGAGTCCTTTGGTCTTGACACATCCCTCAGGATGATGCTCGTGCCTGCTGACCGGTTTCCCCAGATAGTACAGGCGATCGCGGAAGCGTATCCCGTACCGTCGTAGCTATAGACACAGCTGCAGATCCTCCAAATGTCACACTAAACAAAATACTGATGAAATACCGAAGAACTAATACAGGCGACAGCGGCGGCAATACTACCGCGTGATACCCATCTTGAGCAGCGCGCCGACGATTTCGACGTCCCCCCATCGCGACGTGCCTGGCTCCGCCACCGCCTTCTTATTCTGTATGTACTCCAGCGTGTTGCGGAAGTGTCTCGTGATCATATCGGGGGTCTGTACGCCTTCGAGCAGCCCAGGTGGCGCGCGCTGCGTTGGATGCACGTCGGGCGAAGAGATGCTGTCGATGCTCGAGGTGATCAGCTCGACGAGGCTGTTCACGAACTTGGGCGTCACCTGTGCGCACTGTTAGCCAAGAGTATCGTTGAGACATCTACCACATACCGCTGGCGCGCCGCGGTCCAAGTAGTACAGATACTTGTCCAGCGTGTCGCAATACAACTGGATGGTAACGATCTCCTCCGTTGCAGAGTTCGCGATGCGGAGCGCCTTCTGCAAGCACTCGAGCACACGCTTGCTGTCCTGGTGCGGGTACTGCAACTAGTCAGCTCTCAGACGTCGTGGGCCACCAATATTTGCACTTACCGCTTTTGGGCTCTCCGAGTCGTCATCTTTCGCACCCGCAGCCGGTTTTTCTGTAGGCTCCTTCGCCGGCGGCTCGTCCTCGGGTGGGATCTCCTGCCACCACAGGTGGCTCGCGAGATTGACCACCGTCGCCTGATGCGGCTTCTTGAGTAATCGCGCGCCGTGCAGAGCCGCCTTAGTGATCAGCGTGTCGTAATTGTCCTCGCCGAACACACGCGCGCCCTGGAGTGTGCCGATGATGAGCGTGATAGCCTGCAGCTGCGCCCGGCTCTCCGAGATACTGTCTTCGTAGACGGTAAACGCCTGTACGTACAGGTCATACGTCAGGTCCTCGAAGCCGCACTCGTCCGAAATCTGCGCAGCGAGGAGGAAGAGGCGCAGGGCTATTGAGGGCGCTTCGACCGTTGTCGCAAGGATATTTGTGATCTGACGCACAAATTTGAGTATCGACTGCGCCTTCGTTTGCCACTCGTCCTCCTACCCCCAAATGAGCTTCTGATAACGCTAATGAGTCGACACAAGACTCACAAGGTGCTCTCGGTTTTTGTATCTCCGGACCAGCTTGACCGCGGAGGTAATGAGGGCGGGGTATGTGTACCGCATACGCTCGCCACCAGTCTCGAAGTGTCTTCGCGCGGTTTGCAAAATCTTGGTACGGCGAAATTCAAAAAAGGGTTTAAGCTACAGTAAAAACAGGGCGTACCTCGAACTGCACATCCAAAGAGTCTGCCCGGAAAAGATGCACCATCCGTGCGATCCATCCCTGCTCTTCCGCCATCTCTTCCTTTTCGTGCAGATAAGTGCCTCCTCTTCGCTCGCGTCCCGATATCTGGGACGCAAGCGACGTTGAGCTGACTGTACCGTCTTGTTGATCCCGTATAAGTACATGGCATAGTTCCAGAATTCCATTCACATCCCCAGGGGCTTCAATAATAGTTTCGTTCTTGAGGACAGATGAGATGAGAGCATGGGAGAGCGAGCGACGGGTACTGAACGGCTGCAGGGTAAGAAGAGGGGCGTATCGTTCGAGAGCAAGAAGAGTGAGCACAGATTGATAGGAATTGATCGGTGCAAGCAGTAGCGCTGCCAAGTTAGCTGTAGTCTGTGAAGAATGCAAATCGGGGCTGCGGTAGATAAGTATGCGTTACGGATAAATGTGGTGTGCACAAACCTAGTCGCGAATTCTTGAATTTTCTCCTGAGCGAACCCGAGAACCTGGTCGACGTATTCAAGTCGGTCAGGGTAGCAGCTCACTGAAAGATTTGTGATGGAGACTAGCAGAGCTGTTATATCCTGGATGGAAAGATCTGGTCGAGCCTACCACCAGGTTAATATATCACCGATTTCTACGAAGTAACCTCAACACATACCTTGATCAGCTCTACGACCTGGTGCCAGAAAATTTCAAAGAGCTTGACATTTTCAGGAATACCGCGGAACTTTCTAACAGGTGAAATCTCGCGCTCCTTGCCCTTGTCAACCTTCTCTGGTGGCGTTTCCTCCGTAGATCCATTGGTCGTAGGCTCCTCCGTGGTCGTCGCTAGTTTTTCCACTACGGGACTTTGTGGTGTAGATCCCCAGCCTACGGAGGCATCGTGAACAGCTGGAGCCTCTGTTTCATGCGCGCCATTGACAACCTCACTCTGCCTGAGGCGGGCGTTGACCTTCTCTGCCAATCGCTTAGCTGCGGCTTCCTCCTGGCGCTTCATCTCTTCAGGATCTTCGTTCTCGGCTTCACGTGCAGCGTAGGCAGCCAAACGGTCAATGAGCGCGATCACGATTTGTTTGATGTTGACCTTCGGGTGTAGCTGCGCGGTGGCAGACAGGAATTGGCCGAGTGTATGTAGATGGAACTCGTCCGTGAAGACCTGTGGTGATCACTTAGTGTTCATCAAGTAACACGCGCGTGACAGGCACACCTGAATTACCACCTCCATCAAGTACTCCTGCGCAATGACGTCTTTGCAGCTCACGACCTGCTGCAGAATGCTGGGTAGAATGTTCTTCTGATACATCTCGAGATCCACGCCGTCGAGCTGGCTCAGACGAACGAGGTTGGTGCCTACGAGGATCCTGAGGTCCTTGCGCTCCATTTCACGCTTCTCCCGGTCGCGCGAATGGCCTTGGTGTTGTAAGCGCACCCAGAGCTTGTTCATCTCGATGAAGTTCGTCAGCACGAACGAAATGGAGTCTTGCAAGTTGCCTTGTGGTCTAAAATACTTTAGCAATGAGCGCAGGAGCCTGCGGGCAGACATACCCTGGGTCGTCCCCGACAGGCAAATGGTCCCTCGTCTGACCGCTGAGATAATGGCGCAGAAAAAGACCGCGAATGGGGTGCAGCACCCCGCGCGACATTTCCATCATATCCTTCATAATCTCCTTCACAGGCGCGTCGGCGATGGACATGTACACGGAACCAACGGTTACCATAAGGTATAGTCGCGGGACAATATTGCCGGCATATTGTACAAGCTCGTAGAGGTCGGCGAGGTGATGGCGGCCTTGTGTGTGGGCCTCGGATAAATAGTTGGATAAGTGACGAAGAGCATCAAATACAGCCATGTCTGCGTCTCAATTAGTCGGAGCATACGCGGCGACTAAGGGGGACACTCACACAGCTCGTAGTACTGTTTTGGAGACAGGGACGAGGTTCGTAACTCTGCGAGCATGAGGCTCGCGGCTTTCAACGCATCCATGAGCTGGTCAAGTTCCTGGAGAGCGTGAGGAATATGCTTAACGCGACCATCCCCGGCGAATGTGCAGCGACTGTACTGCGTACCAGATACCGGCGCATTTGCTGAACCTGAATCTTGACTGTGCTCAAGGACTCGCTGAGTAGTTTTCCCTCCTCCACGGGCAGCGGCGGCCCTGTCGCGGGAGCAGCCATGTCTGTCGTCGAGCTGAAGGAGATGACGAAAGTCGAGGTTTAGATTACACTGCGCTTGCGGACCGTGTTGCGCAGGAGCTCTAGACGCTCAGTTAATAACACCAGACTTACTCAAGAGATTCACACGGTAAGAACAACCCAATAGCCACGATAAAGAGTAGAGAATTCTCCGCGTTCCAGAACAGCATGAAAAGTACAGTCGTACAGATTAATTTACTTCCTAAAGATCGATCAGCAGTGCCTCTCTTTCTGGTTCTACGGGTGTAGGCGGAGTGTAAGTCTGGTATCCCTGCGGCGGTGCTGTGGGCACGATGGGGAAGTTTGGTAGCTGCTGAGGCACCGCGGCCTGTTGCAATTGCTGTAGCTGCTGCGGTGAATGAGACACGGTCTTCGCTCGCGAAAGATACTGCGCCTGAGGGTTTGCCTGCTGCGAGGGGTGGTAGGCGGAAACAGTGTTGTGACGAACTAGCGGAGTCTGAGACGGCGGGGAGGTTGCAGGAGGTTGCATCGACGAGGTAAATACGGGCGTCTGGGGAGCGGTTTGGTACTGTTGCTGAGAAGGAGGTGGTGATTGGACGGTAGCAGGAGCGGGAATTGCAGGAGGGGCTTCGGCCGGAGGTGCGTACCCTTGATACTGTGGGATGGACACTGATGTAGGTGATGCAACACCATAAGACGACGATTGCTGGTTGTATTGCGCGTATTCCAAAGGTGTAGCCTGCTGCGGAGGGGCTCCATATGCGGTGGACTGACCGGCAGCCACGCCGTTAGATTGTCTCTCAGGGCCCGCGTAATATGACACTTGGGCCGTTTGGGCCTGTGGCGACGCTGCCGCCGCTTGAGCAGGAATTGACCACTGGCCGTACGTTGATTGAGCCTGGTACTGCGGGGAATATGGCGCCGGAGTAGGTTGTGTACTGGCTGCCCTCCATGGTGGGTGTGTCACCTGCGCAGTGAGAAGCTTGTCGTATAGCTTAACCGCTTCGGAGAGTTTGTCGTGCATCTCAGACAAGAGCTCTGCCAATGCCGCGTTAAGCTTGAACACGTACACTAAGGACACAAGTACTCACGTTCTTTCCGCCCTGTGTCGCTGAGACTCATAGCAACCTTTGGCCGAAGCGCGTTCGCCTTGTCGTATAGCTCCGATACCGCCGGGTACCTCGACAAATCCCTACCGCCCTGTTGTTGCAGCTGCTCTACCGTCTGACTGAACGTCAGAATAGCATCTTCCTCGAGAGGTTCCAGGTCATAGCTCGGCAAGGTAGGTACGGTGGGTCTTGGCGTGGCGGAGTTTGGAGGGTATGATTGGGCATAGCCGGATCCCGAGCTGTAGTTGAAGCCTGCATGTTCGGTTCGTGGAGTCTCAATGCTAAGAGGGGCACTAGGCTTCGGAGCACTAGCTTCACGAAGACTTGCCTCGATGGCAGCACGCAATTCCGGATCATCTTCCTCGTCGGCACGAGACTGAGACACTGCACTTGGATATGAGCTGCGATCCACGATGGGCGGTTCTGACGTTTGCCATGACGATGCTGAAGGAACATATCCAGGACGCTTCAAACCCGACGCGCCGACTTCTTCCAATGATAGCTGAATGGCACGCTGCAGTTCGGAATCGTACATATCTCTCGCAGAACGATGCCGGGTAGCAGAGACGCTTTGTGACGGCCGATGGCTCCTGCGTAGATTAGCACGCCGAAGCGTATATAATGACGAGGCAATGGCTTACTTATGTTTCTTTGTCAGCTTGGCATGGCAGCCATCGCACACCCGGACCTCCTGCGTGATACCGAAGTGAGGGAGCGGCATGGTTTTTGACGAGCACGCCTGATCGAACACCTGTCCGCAGTTGCGACAATGGTGCTTGCGATTGGTGAAGGTAAAAGCTGTTCGACATCGCAAGCACACGTCCGAGTCAATCCATTCGGGTGCAGTCTGAGTATCGACCATAGCTGCACTGGTCAAGGCCGGGTCTCGTGGCGGAAAGTTGAATCCTGTTGCTCATCAGCAAAAGCGGCGGTGCAGAAGCGCTTACACTTACCTTCATGCTGTAAGGTCTTATAAACCTCTCCAACGTAGCTGAGATTTGCTCGTCCTTCGAACGCGGTGGCCCAGTTCTGGATAAAGCGCAGAATCTTATTCTTGACGTCATGGTTCAGTGCGGGTATCTTGAGTATTGAGACGAGATTATCCATGAACTCGCGCGACGCAACCTCGACAAGGAACGGGTCTCCACCGTTCTTCACACACGTATCTGTAAGCTGGGGGCGCTGATATGAGTACGCACACGGTCCGGGGTATCGGGTACCACGTACACCCAGAGCGAGCAGCTGCACATTCGGATTCTTGTGATTCAACCTGCGCTTCATTGCACGCATTGCATCCTTGGGGGCTACAGACTTTGACCGAATCTGGTCAGAAATTTCAAGGTTGAGTGCGATGTCCTCAGAGCCTGAGGGTAATAACTCGGAGGTCGCCTTGTCTGCGCACGCCGTTAGCCGTATCCACCAGCAGAGAGAGGCCAACATACCAACTGCATCGTCGAGCTGGGACGTTCCCCACAGTAATGTGCTAAAATATGAAGTCATGATAGTTGTATAGATAACACCGTCGTTGACGATGCGGAGAGAGGTGGACGTGACGGCTTACGCGCGTAGATGCCACAGTCGCAGCGGGTGACTGCGCTATGACTAATTTGTTAAACCTCCGCCTAATCTGAGTTACACGTGGGGCTATTGTTGAGCCACATATTCTATCTCCGACTTAACGTACCCGGAGAGTGTGACATTGGTGTCGGGGCCGTTGGCGTGACTTGTTCATCAACCACTTCGACGCCGTCGACTCCGTCACCGTCGCTGTTCTACTCTCTTCTATCTTCCCGTTAGGCCGACCTGGTAGACCTCTCATCGGGTTTGCCAACGTTATCCTTGATACCTGGACGACTTTCCGTGCGTTACGACACGGATTACTCAGCTTGCGTGGCAGCGACAAAAGCCTCAAAAAACCCTTCCTGAACGACCTCTAGTGACGAGGCCGTATTGACTCTCTGCTGGGCGACGACTTTCGTAGAATTCGGACTCTGTTTACTATAATTTTACGTACCGAACCTAGTGGCAATCCCGTTTTCCTCACCTCTCCATCTCCGTTGTTCCTCGCCAGCACTCCATCATGCTGGGCCACCAATTCGCCTATTCTGCGGCTCCGATCCGCAAAGTAAAGGAGGTTCAGTTTGGAATCCTCTCTCCGGAGGAAATTGTGCGTTTTTGCCTACTTCTTTGTGACTTTCTCAGGCTCACCCCTGTATGATAGAAAGCGTACTCCGTCGCAAAGATTGAACATCCTGAAGTTATGGATGAGACAACTCATAAGCCCAAGATTGGCGGACTGATGGATCCTCGGTTGGGCACTATCGATAGGAATTTCAAGTGCCAAACATGCGGGGAGGGTATGTCTGAGTGCCCTGGTCACTTTGGTCATATCGAGCTGGCGAGGCCGGTGTTTCACCCGGGTAAGTTTTCCAATAGTCCCCAAATTTCACTCAGCTCATGTGAATTCAGGCTTCGTCGTGAAAGTCAAGAAGATCTTGGAGTGTATATGTGTAAACTGTGGGAGACTGAAAGCCGACATTGTGAGTCGAGTCTCCCTTTCCTCTACTCGTTTCGCACCCCACCACCCAATTTTCTGGGGGCTCTCTCCCATGGAGAACCCCAAGCCCACACTGCGTCAGTTCTCGATTATCGGGACGTTCTTCCGCCCGGACGCGGACTGCGCGCGTTTTCGATCGCTTGATCGCCGCGCGGTCTATTACACACGCCCGGTGCTGGTTGGACGCGCGGTGTGCGGTGAAATGGGGGGCTGAGCGAGGAGTGCGAAAAATGAAATCTGTAGTGTGGTGACGCCGCGCTGAGATCATCGGTCTACCGCCCCCCCCCCCTGTAACGCAGATTGAGGGGTGTACGTTTGACCTGCACTTGCGACTCGGTGTTGATTGCCCCCTGCTTGTTAACGGTGTTGTCGGGAAGTTTCGAGTGACGCAGTCGTTGTCCTTACCAAACCATACTGACGTCTTAACCCGCATATTCTCCCTCACCAACTTGCGTCTCTGTGTGATCTTGCAACTGTAAGTCGGATCCAACATTCGCGGACCGGATACGGCATGTCCGCGATCCGAAGGCACGTATGCAAGTGGTGTGGAATTACTGCAAGGGCAAGATGATCTGCGAGCCGGACGAGCCTAGGGACGAGAATGACAACATGGAGAATGACGAGCCCAAGCGTGGTCATGGTGGCTGCGGTGCTGCCCAGCCGCAGATTCGGAAGGAGGGTTTGAAGCTCTTCGTCCAGTACAAACGCTCGAAGGATGAGGACGAGGTCTGTAACCTGCAGGTAAAGCTGTCAATCAGGTCTAACTCCTGAGTGTAGGAGGTGAAGACGTTGCAGCCTGACAAGAGGCTGTTCCCTCCACATGAGGTCTACAATGCGCTGAAGAAGATCCCCGATTCTGATCTGCATCTACTCGGTCTTTCGGACGAGTACGCGCGACCCGAATGGATGATTCTCACCGTTCTTCCTGTTCCTCCTCCCCCAGTGCGACCAAGCATTGCTGTTGATGGTGGCACTATGCGTAGCGAGGACGATCTGACCTACAAGCTAGGCGACATCATTAAAGCTTCTGCAAACGTGCGGCGATGCGAGCAAGAGGGTGCTCCTGCCCATGTTATCAACGAGTTCGAGCAGCTGCTTCAGGCGAGTGTTGTCGTTCGATGCTTGGTTGGGGGCGACTAACGTTACGCGCAATAGTTTCATGTCGCCACCTACATGGACAATGATATCGCTGGTATCCCCCAGGCACTGCAGAAGTCCGGCCGTCCGGTCAAGGCTATTCGTGCTCGTTTGAAGGGTAAGGAGGGACGTCTGCGTGGTAACCTCATGGGGAAACGCGTGGACTTCTCCGCTCGAACGGTAATCACCGGTGACCCCAACCTTGAACTGGATGAGGTCGGCGTACCACGGAGCATTGCGATGAACCTAACCTTCCCTGAGCGGGGTAAGTGCGTCCCAGAATTGACTCACTGTCGAAAGCTCAGCTTGTCTGGTAATTTCAGTGACACCTTATAACATTCACTGGCTGCAAGATCTTGTCCGCAATGGGCCTACGACATACCCGGGTGCGCGCTACGTCGTGAAGGACACTGGCGAGCGTATCGATCTTCGCTACAATAAGCGAGCGGATGCCTTTTTGCAGTTTGGATGGATCGTCGAGCGCCACCTGAAGGACGGAGAGTAAGTCGTTTTCAGATGTATGTTCGCGCTGTTAACTTACCAAGTTCGCTAGTTTTGTCTTGTTCAACCGACAGCCGTCACTGCACAAGATGAGTATGATGAGTCATCGCGTCAGACTTATGCCCTATTCCAGTAAGCGTTATCCTCATGTGAGCATACGCTGTGAACCAACGATGTGGCAGCGTTCCGCTTGAACTTGTCCGTCACGCCTCCGTACAACGCTGATTTCGACGGGGACGAGATGAACATGCAGTAAGTACAATATGCTCTGTGTGATTTGATGTATTGAAGCCTGTTCGTAGTGTGCCTCAGAGCGAGGAGACCCGAGCCGAACTCTCCCAAATCGCATGGGTACCACGACAGATCATTTCGCCTCAGGCTAACAAGCCAGTCATGGGTATCGTGCAGGACACACTTTGTGGTATTCGCAAGTTCACCTTGCGCGACACATTCCTGGACTGGACTCAAGTACAGAACATCCTGCTTTGGGTCCCAGACTGGGATGGCACTGTCCCAACGCCGGTCGTTATCAAGCCCAAACCGCTCTGGACAGGGAAGCAGCTCTTGTCGATGTGCATCCCGCGTGGTATCAACATCCATCGGAATCCTGATCCTAAATCGTCGAACCCCGTGTTTGACGATGGCGTGTTGATCGAAAACGGCGAGCTCATCTTTGGTATCGTCGATAAAAAGACTGTTGGTGCATCGCAAGGAGGCCTCGTTCACGTTGTCTTCCGTGAGAAGGGCCCGGAGATGACGCGACAGCTCTTCACCGGTCTCCAGCAAGTTGTCAACTACTGGCTCTTCCACAACGGCTTCAGTATTGGCATCGGCGACACCATTGCTGACCGGAAGACTATGGCGCATATCACGGAGCAAATTGCGATCCGCAAGCAGACCGTCGCTCAGATCATCGACGACGCCGCGCATGATCGTCTCAAGCCCCAACCCGGCATGACCATCCGAGAGTCTTTCGAGAGCAAGGTCGAGCGTGAGCTCAATCTGGCTCGTGATCAGAATGGTCAGTACGCGCAGAAGCACTTGAAGGAAGACAACAACGTCAAGCAGATGGTTGTTGCCGGCTCAAAAGGTTCCTTCATCAACATCTCGCAGATGTCCGTCTGTGTCGGCCAGCAGATTGTCGAGGGTCGCCGTATTCCCTTCGGCTTCCGCCATCGTACGCTTCCCCACTTCACCAAAGACGACTTCAGTCCCGAAGCCCGTGGCTTTGTCGAGAATTCGTATCTCCGTGGCTTGACTCCGCAAGAGTTCTTCTTCCACGCAATGGCTGGTCGCGAGGGTCTCATCGATACCGCCGTCAAGACTGCCGAGACCGGTTACATCCAGCGTCGCCTCGTCAAGGCGCTTGAGGACGTCATGGTTCACTACGACGGTACGGTGCGGAACTCGCTCGGCGATCTAATCCAGTTCGTCTATGGCGAGGACGGCATGGACGGAGCCTTCATTGAGAGGCAGAACATTGAGACATTCGCTCTCAGCAACCGGGAATTCGAGCACGACTATCGGGTCGATGTTACTGATCCATCTGGAGGCTTCTTGCCTGGTGTTCTGCAGCTTGGTCTCGATGATAGCTCTCTTGAGCTCCAGGCCAAGCTTGACGAGGAGTTCTCTCAGCTGTCGGAAGACCGTCAGCTCCTCCGCGAGTTCATTTTCCCACGCAGCGACCCAGCGACGGCGCGCTATCTACCTGTCAATCTCCATCGTATCGTTCAGAATGCGGTACAGATCTTCCACATCGACCGTCGCAAGCCTTCTGACCTGGAGCCCGCGTATATCATCGACGCGATCAGGGCTCTCTGCGAGCGTCTCGTTGTCGTTCGTGGCGATGACCCGCTGTCAAAGGAGGCCCAGGCGAATGCAACGCTTCTGTTTCGCATGCATCTGCGTGCGACATTTGCGACGCGTCGTGTCCTCGAGAGGTATCACCTCAACAAGGAGGCTCTTGAATGGGTGCTGGGCGAAATCGAGTCCAAGTTCAACCAATCGCTCGCTCATCCCGGTGAGATGTGCGGTACTCTGGCCGCGCAGTCCATTGGCGAGCCTGCCACGCAAATGACGCTGAACACGTTCCATTATGCCGGTGTCTCGAGTAAGAACGTCACTCTCGGTGTGCCACGTCTTAAGGAGATCATCAACGTTGCGACGAATATCAAAACACCATCGTTGTCCGTCTACCTGGAGTCGAAGTTAGCGAAGGACGCTGCGCTGGCGAAGAACGTCCAGCAGGAGCTGGCCTACACTTCGCTCCGCACGGTCACTGCTGCCGTTGAGATTTGGTACGATCCCGATCCCACCTCGACTATCATCGAGGAGGATAGCGTCTTCGTCGAGTCCTTCTTCGCTATTCCAGACGAGGAAGTGGAGTCGAAGCTCCATCTGCAATCACCGTGGCTCCTTCGTCTCGAGCTGGACCGTGCTAAGATGATTGACCGAAAGCTCACCATGGCTTACGTTGCTGGCCGTATCGCGGAGAGCTTCAAGACGGACCTATTCGTCATCTGGTCGGAAGACAACTCCGAGAAGCTAATTGTCCGATGCAGAGTCTTGGGCGGCGCGGACAAGGAGGACGATGGTATGGGCACCGTCGAGGAGGATATCTTCCTCCGGCAACTCGAGAACACCATGCTTAACTCTGTAAGTCTTCGCGGAGTGCCCAGTATCGAGCGCGTCTTCTTGCTGGAACACGACAAGATTATCATCACTCCGGATGGTGGTATCGACGCTCGTGGTGGTGAGAAGGAGTGGGTATTGGAGACGGATGGTGTCAACCTCAAGGCAGTCATGACCGTCGATGGCGTGGACTTCCGGCGCACGTACTCCAACAGCTGCGTCGAAGTATTCGGTGTCCTTGGTATTGAGGCCGCCCGCGCTGCGATCATGAAGGAATTGCGTGGTGTCATCGAGTTCGACGGCTCATATGTCAACTACCGCCACCTTGCGCTCCTTTGCGACCTAATGACCCACCGTGGTTCCCTCATGGCTATCACTCGTCATGGTATCAACCGTGCGGATACCGGCGCCCTCATGCGTTGTTCTTTCGAGGAGACGGTGGAAATCCTCATGGAGGCCGCAGCTGTTGGCGAGAAGGACGATTGCCACGGAATAGCGGAGAACGTAATGTTCGGCCAGATGGCTCCTATGGGCACCGGAGCATTTGACGTCGCCCTGGACATCGATATGCTCAAAGATGTCATTGTCGACCACCGCATCCCCGCACACACAAGCCTCGTCGCTCCACAGATGGATGGAGGAATGACGCCCGGGCAGGTCGCGATGACGCCGTACGACAGCAGCTCTCCCGTGTGGAATCCGGACGGTTCGTTCAAGGGTGAGACGGCTGCTTTCTCACCGCTGGCGATGAATGGAGGAGAGGACGCAGCGAGTTTCTCATATATGCCGTTCGGCCAGAGCCCCATGGGTGCCGGAAGCATGTCCCCAGCCGCACCGGGTTACAGCCCAAGCTCACCGAACGTGTATTCACCAACATCTCCTTATGTACCGCAATCGCCGTTCGCGGGCGCGACGTCACCATTCGGCACATCCCCCTATGCGACCTCGCCCTTCTACGACCGCAGCCGCGGACCGACGTCGCCAACGTATTCGCCGACATCCCCAGCTCTCAATCTCACCTCGCCAGGTTATTCGCCTACCAGCCCGAGATACTCCCCAACGTCCCCATCGTTCTCACCTACGTCGCCGCGCTACAGTCCTCAGTCACCGTCGTTCAGCCCAACATCGCCCAGATACTCACCGACCAGTCCTTCCTTTAGCCCGGCGTCTCCACGCTGTGAGTTTATTCTCGAAATAGCTGCATTTGCATATCGCTAACCTTATATCGTCGCAGATTCGCCAACTTCGCCTGCACAGATGTCACCGGCTTCTCCGAAGTACTCACCTACCTCACCTGTATCGCCTGCTTCACCCAAATATTGTAAGTCTAAGTCTCGTCGTATGATGGAGTTCGCTTACCGAAATCTTGACAGCACCTACGTCGCCGACCTATTCCCCTGCGTCACCAGCATATTCCCCTGCGTCGCCGGCGTATAGCCCTACGTCTCCGCAATGGTCGCCATCGAGTCCTTCGCAGCAGCAGAATGGCTCAAACACGATCCGCTCGAACGCGTACTCGATGTCGCCGTCGTGGGATTAAGTTGCCGGTGCTCTCTGTGTTCTCGGTACGAAGCCAGGCGTCGGTGCTGTCTTGATTCTTTTTTACTCTCGATAGTCATCAGCGGTATACATATACTGTCTAGCTCTGTTAAACGCATGCATGTAGATTACCCAACCGTCGTATTGTTATCCGCTGAAAATACCACACTGCTTGCTGCAAGATCTCAGGTGCAGAGGTAAAGCTTTGAGCTTTGATCATGAGAGCTGGGAACTTCTTCGCTCAATGTGGATGCATCACGTGAGCTAGCCTATAAAATTGCGTCCGCGTGCGATTTCTCTTCACCAACGCACCTTTCGTCAAATTGCAGACCTTGCCCATGCGATATTTTCGTCGACACCTACGGCTGGTCTGTGCCATTACAGGGCGGATAGGAACTCGGACGTCTTAGTGCTTAGTTTTTCGCCTGCGTTTCTAGCGGGTGGGGGGTAGCCGGTGGTTCGTACACTCACACCCTGTGTACTGTGAATGCTACTTGCCTTTATAGCGAGGAAGGTCGCAAATATAGCCTTTTTGTAATGGTTCAAGTTATCGAAGTTGCTGTGTTGCGGGTTCCAACGTAATAGGGAGCTGTCAGTCTTGAGCAACAAGTTCAGTTCTCTGCGCATGCGATACACATTCCAGCGGCTAGGCTACTTCTTTTCCATCTCTCTTGAAGACCTTTCCGCCCTTCATGACGAAGCTAATGCTGCCCTTATCTACAGCACTGGTAAAGTTCTTCTCGAAATCTCCTGTCGTCGCGATAATGTCCGCTGCGAAGCCCTTCCTGACAGCACCAAACGGTACCTCGTTGTCGCCGACGATGCGCGCGTCCTCTTGGAGCTGTTCGACCCTGGCTAGGCGCGCGGCGCCCTCGCGGCCCTCCCAGCGCATGCTCCGGACGCACTTCCAGCCGGCGAGCGTCGCCCACTGAAGCGTCTCGCGCCAGCCCGCCCCGAGCTGAACCATGAGCTTCATCTCGAGCGCATTGTCCCCGTGCGCGAACGCGCCGGTGTCGCCGCCGCACGCGATCCGGATGTCACGCGGCCGCTTCTGGAGGAAGAGCTGGAAGCTCTGCACCGCGCGCTGCCACGCCACGGAGTGTTGCCCCGCCGAGCTGTAGAACACCGCGAGCGTCGGGTTCCAGAAGAGTGGGAGCGTCATCGCCGCGGTGCTGGTGCTGCGCACCGGGAAGAGGCACCCTTGCTCTTGCACGTCCTGCAGCAGCGCGAGCATGTCGAATCCATGTTCGATACTGTCAACGTGCAGGTTGGCGTCTGCGGTCAGGCGCCGCAGCGTTTCTGCGTCCTGCGCATGCGCGACGATCTTCACCCCCAGGCGGTGCGCTTCGGTGATCATGGTACTGATCTCTGAATCCGTGAATGACCCGATGGAGGCAGCTGCAACGGCTGGGGAGACGTCAAGCATGTTGGCGCGGATGCGATAGTCTGCGATGTTGCCAGCCTAAGTATGGCTCTGATCGGCGGATGTGACATTTACTAACCTGCATAGATCTGGAATGGCAAGTTTTTGAGTCAGCAATCTAGTCCGACGTATTCACCAATGTCATTACCTTGATCCAGTCTGCGCCAGCGCCGATTTGCCTGCGGACAGCTTTAGCACATTCGACCTCACCATCCGCAACTTCAGCTCCTATAACGCCCTCCACGCCGTCACGGTCCGGATACAACGGGTTCTTTGGACCTGTACATTTCTGGATATCAGCTCCAGAAGAGGCTAATAAGGTCCAGGGGGTCACACCATAGCTCCCTGTGGCAACAATGGCACGGTTGGCGGTAAAGTACCGTGGTCCGACGGCGATTGGGTTAGGTCCGGAGAGGCACTTGCGAAGAGCTAGATCCGCGTCCTGAGCACCTTCAGTGCCCAGGTCACTGTAGGATATTGAGTCAGCGACGACATATACGGCAGGCATACAATATGTACGCACCGTACGGACGTGTAACCCGCCATCAGGGTACGTCTGGCATGAGTCGTGGCACGGATGGTTCGTTCAGCGAGACTCTCGCGAGTAACCTGGTCTGTCCAACTCGTCTCCGAGTAGGAGTGTAGGAACACTGCGCATTGTTAGCTGCTGCCCTTTGCACAATATATATCAAGCGTACTGTGGACGTGGGTGTCGACGAATCCCGGCAAGACGGTCTGTCCACGCAGGTCGATGGTCGAATCATCCTTGAGATCGATACCTCTTTCTTCAAACCACTCCTTCTTGTCCTCGTATTTGTCGACCTTAAGGATCAGGCCCAAGTCTGAAGAGACTGTAATGAGCTGATTCTCGACGAGGTCACCCGTGTACGAGTCGAAGAGCTTTCCGGCAACGATATTCATGTTTCTCGTCATCGGCGGCCAGTGCATCGTCCGCAGTGTCGAGAGACAACAGCCGCAGCCAGCTTGTTCAACCCCCGAGTCCTTTCCACTCCCACCATGTGCGGCCGAAGAACATGGACTGTATTAGGTTCTGAATCTTCTGATGAAGACACATGCGCCCGCGAACAGCGCTCGCAAGTCATCGTCCAGCGACAAATTTTGGTTCAAGACAGCCATGGACCTTTGCACTCGCTCTTTCCGATCTCTGCGCCGAACGTCGAGGGGCACCCGCCTGAAGCGCGCCGAACGATGAGCACGAGACACTCCGGGCGGATCCACGAGCAGGCCCAGCTTATCATGTCGGCCGTACCGCTATCGGCTCTTGCACGGTCATTCCGGACCTCCAACCTCTCCTCTCGACGTCGACAATGACCTTCCGTCTCCTCTGGGGGACTATCCCCCGCCTCTCGCGGCGGCCACTCTATCGCTCATTCGCGTCGGCGTCGCCTCGCCCGGTCCGCTCGCGCCTGCCGGCACTCGGCGTAGTCTCTGGCCTCTCGGTCGCTTCGTACGTCTGGCTCACCGACCAGTCTGTACACGCAGACGCAGAAGAGTCGAGGCATGAGCGTCCATCGCCGTCCCTTTCGAGCCTCGTCCGCGCGTATGTGGTGTATACGATGTGCTCGATACCGCCGCTCATCGATTGGTCGCCCCAAATCTTGTCCACCCTGCTCGCAATCCCCGTCGTCGGCGATGTCACAAAGGCTATCGTGCGTATCACGTTCTTCGACCACTTTGTCGGCGCGGAAACCGCGGAAGAGGCCATCCCGCTGGTGAAACAGCTGCGTGCAGAGAATAAGGGATGTCTGTTCGCGTACAGCGTCGAGGTCGATGAGCACGAGGCAGCGGGCAAGGCTGCGCGCAAGGGCAAGAACGTGCAACCGGTATACAAGCAAAGTATGCAGGAGATGATCCACAGTATCGATGTCGCGGCGGATTTTGAGGACAAGCATCTACCTCCGGGTTCTAGTAAGGGTAGAAGGACATGGGTAGCGGTAAAGCTGGTGTGTATACTGTCTTTACGTCGCGACAATTCTCTAACATTTCATGCAGACAGCGTTACTTCCCAGCCACCAATCTATGGTCAACTTCTCTCGGTATCTCCTCCAGCATCGTTCCTCTACCTCGGTTCCTTTCCCGGGCACACTACATCAGTCAGATCTTGACGTGTTCTACCGCAAGGTCGATGCGAACGAGATCTTGGCTGATCAGGATATCTTAGATCTTAAAGACTTGTTTACGGACTTGAACGCTATCTGTCAGCACGCCCATGAACGTGGTGTCAAGATCATCATCGATGCGGAGCATAGTTGGTACCAGGTTAGCTCGTCTTTGTGTGAAGAAAGATCGTGAAGCTCACGAATGGCAGCCTGCGATAGATGCATTCGCCTTTGCGCTCATGTCGAAGTACAACCGGTCGTCCTCTTCGTCAGTGTCACCCAACGTTCAGCCACTAGTCTACAACACATACCAAGCATATCTCCGCCGGTATGCAAATAATCCTGAGCTCTCGGCATTGTACTAAGTTATATATTAGGAACGAATCACACTTGGCGCACAGCCTGCAAACTGCGAGAGCGAATGGTTTCGCGCTCGGAGTGAAGCTCGTCCGGGGAGCGTACCACCCGCACGAGATAGCCGCGCACGCCGCCGCTCGCTCACAGGACAAGAAGCCCAAGGTGCACGCACCCTCCGTCTCTCCAGACGACCTCCCGCCAGTGTGGACCACGAAGCCCGAAACGGACGCGTGCTACGACCGGTGCGTCGGCCTGCTCCTGGACGCCGTTGCTGCGGACGTTGCGCCGCCGAAGTTGTCGTGGTTCCGCAAGGCAGAGGCGCCGACTCGAGCGCTGACGATCGGCGTGCTCTTCGGGACGCACAACTGGACGAGCTGCCGCCTCGTGCTCGACCGCCTCGTCGAGAAGGGGCTCGCGAATGCCGAGGGCGCCACGTCAGAGCGTGAGCCTATCGTGCACATCGGAAGCGAGGTCGCCGAGCGTGTGGCGCTGGCGCAGCTGTATGGTGCGTGTCCGGCCTTTTGGGACGGGGTTGCACTGGCCGCTGACGCTGTTGGTAGGCATGCATGACGACTTGACGGACTACCTCGTCGGCCGGATCCGCTCTTCGATGCCATTCGTGATCAAGTACGTGCCCTATGGGGCGCTTGCGGAGGTACGCGTACTCTTCCCTAAGTGGACAGATGCTGAGGTGCAGCGCAGGTTATGCCGTACCTCGGACGCCGGGCGATCGAGAATAAGTCTGTGCTGGGCGATGGCGTTGCGGCCGCGGAACGCAGTCGCGCTTGGGAAGGGATTAAGCAGAAGATTTTCGGCTGAGGGCTCGTGGCTACAAGGAGGTTTGGATGCGCGCAAAACAATATTTCATAGACGTTGTACGGATCTCACTGGCAAGTGCTCTGACATAGATAGTAGGGGAGGATTGCATTACATAATGACAAGCACTGATTGACAACATCCTCTATGCCTCTCGCTACTGCGGTAGTGACCGCGGGCGCAATCCGAGTGGTTCTTCGAATTTTGATTTTTCAGGCTTCCAAGCTTCACATTTCTTGGAGTGATGTAAGGATAGCTCTAGTTCGGCACGAACTGCTTGATGTCGTCTGCAGCCTGTCACAACTTAAGAGCGGCCTGCCTGGTGCTTTTATATTGCACTTTGAGCACGTATGTATCCATGGCATTGGTCCATATGATTACTTTAAGCATAAGATTGAGGCCTGGCTGGTCCCGACAAGTCATGTTCACACCCGTAAAGGGAAGGAAACGGCTGCAAACATGCTGATGGTGCGGGGCCTGAGCCCACTCGGCTACCGACCGTCATACAGCTCCGCCAAAAAAGAAAGAAAGAAAGAAAGACAATAAACGGCTGCAAAAATCCACAATAATGATGCGGCAAAGGCCGGACACGTACGTCATACGCAACATATTTCGCCCGTTAGCCCGGATTTGACCGCCTCGCTGCTAGGTACCTCCCCCAGAGGTTCGCACTGGGTGGTAGGTGCAGTTTTTTTTGCTTGCATAACCAGCCAAAAGCTAGGCGAACAAGAACCTGTGTTTAACCGGTTTTCATTCGAGAAAACTTGGAGACAAACCTTCCTTTTTCACTAGTTTTGTCGCGTTTCAGCCTCTTTTAGCCGGTTTTGCACCAATTTATGCACCAATTTACCCCAATGTACAACCGGGAAACAATCGGTTCTTGTTTTCCCAATTTTGACTGGGTTTCTTCAAGAAAAAAACGTGCTTACCACCCTGTGTCGTCTTCATCCATACTCATATCGTCGCTGTGGCATGAGCTGAAAATCTCCGAGAAGTTGCATCATGGCCTGCTTCCAAGATCTACCTCCAGAATTATGCTTAAGGGTTCTCTGCTGTCTTCCTGCGCTGGTCGTAGTTCGTCTTCAGCAAGTACGCGTCACTTCACTCACGTCATTTGTTGTAAGGCGTATGCTAACCTCATATAACGTGTAAGGTGTCGTCAAGCCTTCGCAAGCTCATCAGAAACTCGTTAGAGCTTCAATACAAGATCGAATGTTTCCTGGAGGGAGCAGTAGATGAGGCTCCGGAGTCGCAGCACTCTACCCGAGACAAAATGGAAAAACTGAAGCTGTGGCGTCAAATGTGGAAGCGGCCATCCTGGTCTGAAGAACGCAGGCTGCCCCCGATCCACAGTCATCCCTGTGTCTCCGGGCCCGTCTTTGCTCATGGGACATCCGAACACTCACCGCATACCGCTATCGAGTTCCATGCCCTAGAGGGAAGGCTAAGAAATGTCAAGCCAAAAAGTTGGACACTGGACGGGCTCCGTGAATATGAAGTGTTCAAGTTCGACTGGTATCAAGACCTCTTGGTTATTGTTGAAAAGTGCGGCTTTCTCAGCTTTGTACAAGGACAGTTGTTTGCTAACTCGTGCATTATGCTCAGCTCCATTGGAAGTGACGAGGTAACACTACGTTTTCTGAGCTGTACAACCGGTGGACCACATCCTGCGGCCAGACACACCAATCTTCGTACGATGCTTCCTAAAGCGAGAGTAAGAACTAATGAAGAGCTCTTCGAATTGCGGGTTTGCGGAGACATTATCGCAGCCCGCTATGAATATTCGGATGGACTGATTTTCGGATTATGGGTGTTCGATTGGAGACGCGGCTCTTTGCTTTTGGTATGTACGGCCTCCTAATCCCTTTACCGACCACTCATCTTCCTATGCCCTACATAGCACTTGGGTGTGGGTAGGTCTAACACTCTGGAACACGAGGAGAATATGCCACATCACTTTGCATTCCTCGACTCTCGTCACCTTCTCATCTCGACATATGGAAGCAGCCATTTGCAAGTCCTTGTGGTTTTCGACTGCTATGGCGTTTCTTCCGCTCAGCGATTGCTCTTTCTGGATGCGATGCGGCATCATGCCTCGCTCGTCCTGGAGCTCCCACATAGATCAATCCTGTGGTCTGACCACTTGTTCTTCAGTCTTGATTGTCAGCCTGACAGCCCCTTCGCGCTACCAGCACAGATCGAGGGTGTCACTTTCCGCGCCGCAGGACCACCCGTCGTGCTCGTAGGCATGGAAAACGGAGATCAACCCCCAATCCAGTGCGACATTTTCATCCCGGGCCAATTCATCTTATCTCAGCTCACACGAGCTCGTGCGCGCCGTGCATCCACCTCCTCCGTCCCCTGGATAGCATGGCAGGACTATTCGCGCGAATGTCGGCTTTTCAATACTCTAAGGAGGTGCTCTGGCAGTGTATACGGTGCAAGGTATGCCTTTGAAGGAAAAGTCCGACAGAGCACAGAAACCGCGCAGAGTTCACTAGATGGCCGCCTCATCCTCATCCGCCACTTTGGCGAGCCTGCAGCGATCCTCCGCGATACGGACGTTGACAGCTTCACAGAAGATAACGAAGGTGGCGGTGCGGTAAAGCCCCGTGTGTATGCTGTGCTGGAGCCGTCCGATGAGTTGAACCGAGACATCTGGACTAAGCCGATGTGGACAGGCGCACCGTATCTCTAAACGTGGACCGATATCAGGCTGAAAAATTGGGCATCATTCTACCTTCTTGAAGATGGGATAATCACCGACGAGAAGGAGGTAGGGTATTTTGTGCAAGCAAATCTCACAATATGCTCATACTCATATTTATGATCGCGTTACAGGCCGCGCGCGTACACGTTCTAATTTCTTGTATAGATCCAATGCATAGCTTCTTGTGTAATTTACACCGCTTCTCTCTCGAGCTTGTTCGGTGATTTGTTCAACTGTCGGGAATGTTATTTCACGACCAGGCTGTCCGTCGACCACGCCAGAGACCGCCAGCGTACGTGCCGCTCAGGCGGCTACGCGACGCGACAGTCACAAAACCAGGCTGCAGGAATGCCGTCAAGCTCCGCGCTATCACTTCTATAGCCCCGACCAAAGCCGCTTCGTGATAGCATCCGCTGAGGGGACGTGCAGCGACCGAACGCCCCAGAGCCTACCGTGACAAAGTATAAGAGGTTCAATGCTGAAAGCGCTGATTAAGATGATCTTCCGCATAACAACACGATCGTTCGTCACAAGGAACTGGCTACCATTTGTGCCCGCTGAGTCGAAAATGTTCCGTTTGAGCAGTTCCACGCACGATGCTGGCCCGAGGGAAAGATCTCCGCTGGCCGCACGGTTAGCAGTAACCAGAACCATGCCAAGACGCTATGGTAGTGCTCAAGTAGGGGGTTCGTGGTGATGTTTCTCTACGACCCGATAGAGCGAGTAATGAGTAGGGAAAGAAAGACTATTCGTAAGCGGTGGTCCTCCGCCCCGAATATCGTGTGGCCAGACTCTGGCGATCCCAGCAGGTCAGTCCCCAAGTACTGGCATTGAGGCCCGACATATGGGTGGCAAGGTGGAAGGCAATAATGAGGGCATTCTTTGGGTCATGCGGGAACGTGGGAGCAAAGCTGTCCAGCTTGTAGCGAGAGCCTGGGAGATATTTCTCCAGTCTCCACAGAATCATCCTTAAGACAGGACATGAAGGGATCTTACTATTACCACAGGTTCAGACACGGACCAAAACATGACGCCCTTCTGCTCAAGAATCTGACCTTCCGACACAGCAATCACCCTCACGGCAGAAGCGATCCGACAGCTTGAATGGCTGGTGATAGGGGAAGACGAATAATTTTGTCCGGGTCACTCCCAACTTGAACTTGAATTTAAAAGAGAAAAATTAAAATTTTCGAAAACCGACCGAGCTGAGGGTAACTTCCACTGCAACAGACAGACTGTCAATGTTGCCCTGAGCAAACCGTTTGGGCAGGAACTCGTCAAGGTCATGGGTAGCTTGGTTGAGGACTGGGGACTCGAGTGACGGAGGATTTCAGTGAGAAGAAGGCAAACGGACTCAGATATGGAAGGCTTAGAGGCAACAGTGACGCTATCTGCAATGATGCCCGCAGCATTCGGGATTGCGCTCATACTACTTCACCGTCTCTACCTTCACGGATGCTGAAAATGTGTTGGTCGTGACTCGGACTCGAACCCCTGCTCTGGCGCACCTGGGACCACGCCACATATAGGTGGATCCGAGTCACGGCAAGTCGCTCTGAAAGGCCCGCCTTTGCTTTGGCTATACACTTTATCTTCGCCAACAACTTGAACATTACCGTAACCTCTTTTTGACCCCGCATGAAAAAGGGGTAGATGATGATCACTGTTAGTTTGCTCTTTAGCCTACTCTTGCACGTCGATAGCATGTGCGGTCACGCGGAATGGGCCCAAAATGAAAGAGCCAGTAGAGTGGCTCTGCCGGCATGAGGCATCTACTGCGCGTCGCCGACTCGCCGCGCAATATCTGGGACCGATCTCGGCGCTTGGAGAGGCCTTTCTCCGCGAAAGTTTACGGATAGTACCGTCACTAACCCCGGGGAGCGAGGCTGCGCTATCTGCGATCCTATGCCCTGTTCCCAGAGCATGGCGCCGGAACGTATTGGGAGAATCCCAGTCCGTGGCTTTGGCTCCTCATGTTGCGTGTCATGCTTTCCAGACACGCCCATGCATCGGCGATTGCTTTCTCGTAACCGTCCCTCGAGGAGGGCAGGGCCCGCGGTTTAGAGAATTGTGTGACACGGCGATTGCTTACCAACTGACCTGCGAGTCCGGTATGCTGTGTTGAGAATACAGTTTATTCTGTTGTAAACATTGGTTATGAGTATTCAATGATCTTCTGAGTGGCCGACTTGTAATGGGATAAATTGGCAGGTTATCGTGCCGTATGTATCGCTGAAACTCGAGCTGATCAAATAAGCTGTCCTAAGAAATTGCACCAGAACGTAGTCTAATGGATCAACCATCCGGACTAAAATTTCGCTGAGGTGCACGACCGAGACTGTTTGACACTCGAGTCACCTCGTCGATGTGGAAAACACCCCGTTGAATGAGCCGCATGTGGCGTGGCCAATGGCGTGCATTCTCAAAATTACCACCAAGTCTTCCAAGCCATGCCTACCACCTGACTGAGACATTTACCATGGTGCATAAGGTCCTGGGAAGGAGAAGGGCTGTGATGACCCCAAAAGCTCAGTGTGGACGTCAAAAAATGCGCCACAGAACACAAAGCAACTTTTCCGGACTTTTATCAAAGAAGTTCTTGAGGCCGAGGGAGGTAAATCTTGGTTTTCGCTGCTCACATAAAGTAGCTACAGTAAGATGGCGCGGATTTGTTCAAGAAGATTGGACAGGACGACCGCTACCAAGACGCATCTATCCTCGAGAAACGAGTCGACGAATTCTTAGAGAGACCTCTTGCACTGTCTACTGGCACAGGGCTAGTACACGACTTACTGCATTACTGCGCGCGTAGATGTATGCATTATTACAGGACAATCTAAGCTGTGCCCCGCTATAGCATACCTGAGGTTTTGTCCCGCACAGGTGCCTAACGGTACCAAGCTTCCCACTGGACAACACCGGCATCGCCAAGTCCATGTGGTTACTGCCCGTCTAGTTCGATAACCTGCACCTGATGAACAAAGGCCTTAGAGATAAACCGCTCAGCTGTAACTGCTATGAGTGCCTACGGCGATTCCACGAGTTGCAGGACTTCCAATATGTCCATAGCGCCTGCAACTTGGTAGAGGAAAGCTTGTGTTCCCGCATCGATCTTTATACACAAGGTGAAAGCGGCTAAGTCTGCAGTTCCATGGTCTAAGATCGGGCCCCAGCTAGCTCGCAGCTGAATATTGACGTTTTCTGCCGTAGACTCGGGTTGGAGACGAGCCCGCCGCAGAACCCCGCTATCCCCGCCACCAAAATCGCCCAACTCGATTACCCAAGCTGAAGTGTCCGAACCTGAGATAGTGGAAGCCACACAAACAAGTGGAAAGAGAGCCCGAGGTGCCGCACCTTGCGACCCTATAGACGAACCAATTACGAAGAAGGCACGCTCAAGTAGGGATATCTTCCTTGATTCCGTAAAATCTGCGTACACACATTACAGCGATGAAAATACCTACAAACGGCACCTTAACTGGACCCAGAAGGTGCAGCAGCCACGCGCAGCTCTTCATCTGCCCGGGACGAAACATAGCATCCCAGGCTCTCGTTCCACGTGAAGTCGTGCGCAAGAACCTGGGTAAGTGTCTGGAACGCCCGCACATTGGCAAACGGCACGCCAGTCCTCGGGTCACGATATTTGGCTCGATGGCCGGTGATTGGACAAGTGTCCACTGGACGGCCTGCAGCAATTAATGCTCAGCTCCACGAAAAAAAAAACGCATTGGTTGAGATGGCGCTTACTGGTCGGTCTGCCTTTTCCAGAGTACACCTTGAGTTCCTCCCACTTGGCGTGGTCGCCGAACATGGCAGCCATCGTATCCTTCCAAAGCGGCTTGGAAGCATCCTCCTCCTGGGACAGTTCGTGCACCACGTAATTCTTGGCAACGATCTCTGTACGCTCAATCGGTTCGGGCTGTGGCTGTGGCGGTGAGGGCGCAGTTGATTGCTGTGGTGGGGCAGGGGTCCACGACGAGGGGCCCGCAACCGGCGTCTCTTGATTGTAGTGGTGAATAAAGGTCACTGCCGGCGTGCTCGCGCTAGGCGGGGGTGGTGGGGCGGGCTCACGGTGGGCGCTGTGTGTCGGTGGAGCGAGCTGAAGGAATCCTGGAGGAAGATGAGAATCGGCATAGGCATATGAGTACTGTGGCGAAGGTGCCGGAGGAGCGATAGGTTCGGGCTGGATCTTGACAGTGACAGTCTCGGCTTTGCTGACCACACGAAGTAGCGGACCTTCAACAGCCGTCCTCACAAGCCGCGCTTTCTTGCGCTTCTCTTCTTCTAGAGCTAGGTAGTTGCGATGTTCTTTGATATTGCCTTCCTCCATGTCCAAGGCTCGGGCAATCAGCTCGTCCTGGGTAGGCGGGCGTATCTTCGTCCTATTCCTCTTAGGTAATGTAGACTGCCCCAGCAGATCAGTCGAAGCAATTCTCGTGTACTAGAAATCGTCGCATACCTTTTTCTCCATTTCGTCTTTTATGCGCAGGTCAGTCATCGAGGTGTTGAGCCTAGTATGCGATCTCTGGCTCTGCCGTTTCCCGCTCTCTACAACAGCACCTGTCTCTGCATCGACGACCACACCCATCGAGACTCGCCTCTTCATCTTTCTTTGGACGGCAGTTTTAAGCTGGTCATTGGTAGACAAGTCCGGATCAAATGTAGCCTTCTGTCGTGCATGCGCCGCTGCCGTCACTTTCTCGAGCTGGGTGCGAGCAACCTGCACAAGCTCAGGTGGGAGGCAAACAGAAGGAACAAAGAGCCTACCTTCTTGACTTTGCGCTCTTCATCTTGGACTATCTTCTCCGCAGAGGCGTCGACGTCCCCCTGAGCACCTTCTTCGTCTGTGCTCTCAAAGTCGGATTCGAAAGCATCCTGCTCGTCTACTCTCTTTTCAGACATGTGCAAAATCACTCGGTATGCATGTCACACCTTTTGCTACGATGAAATCGTCATCTTCCTCAACATCATGGCCCAATTCTTCCGAGCGAAACTCGGCCAGTGCAGCCTCCATTCTGCCATGAGCTTAACACCGAACTGCATACGGCTAATTGCGCATATACCTGTTTCCGGCGGTGCTACGCCTCGACCTGCGCGTAACCAGCAACTCGCCATCGTCTGCCATCCTGGACGCTGCTCAGTAATAGATAATGGTGGCAAAATGTGAGAGCAAGAGGCAAAGAGATCCAGGTGCGCGTCTCCAGATGTTGATGCGGAAGCGCTCCGTTTTCGTGAGCTGCGACCACCACCATGCCTCGCAAGGTCAAGTTCGTCGCGACGCCCTCGGAGTTGTCACGGATACTCGCACACCTCAAGAAAGACCCACGCCCGCAGCTGCAGAAGGTCAAAGGCCTTAAGATCACCTACGCTTACCGGAACGACCACTGGGGTACCAGGTACGTTTTCATTTACTTCGGAAGAAAGTTAAATTGACTTTGAACGCGCTGTATCTAGGCATTTTGTTAAAGATGAGCTGCCACGGATACGGTATGCAAACCCGAGAATGGATATCCAGGTGAACAAGCTGCCGAAGACACCGCAGGACGGCTGGAAGCCTGAGCTGACACTGGAACTTCGTGCGTATCGGATTGTCGTGTACACCACTCTCTCGCTCACCTTTCATTCTTTGCTAGGAGACGGTTCTACACAATCATTGGATGTGGACGGCAAGTGGTCGTCTACCATCTTCACCGAGCTCATGGACATTGGCGGCGGTTCTGGCTGGGAAAAGTGGAAGCAGGAGCGCATCGCTGCTGGCCTTCCCGTTGTCGACATCCCGAAGCCCAAGCCAAAACCTCAGCCAAAACACTCGTCGTCTGCTACATCGAACAAGTCCTTGCCGAATCCTTTCGCACTCGCTGACGACGAACCACTAGTCATTAACCCAGGGAAGACCGGCGCCGCCGCCGTCCTGCCCTAACCCCCTTCCTATCTACGCTGTCTTTGGCTATATTATAATTAGCTAGAGTAGAATACATTGGCGTGACGTTAGTATGGCTTGCGTAACGTGGGTATGCGACGCGTGAACAGATGCAAAGGTATGTTCATATCTCGCTTTTCTTTTATTAGCCAAGGGTCCCCATAGCTCAAAGAATACTTGGATGCTTCAGAGGAGGTTATGCTGCTCGTGAGCGACTGAGCGATACGTTTCGAGCTTGCCGCGCTCGCCTCGAGGGTGCCGCCACATGAAGCGCGTGGTTTTCTGCACAGAATCAGCTTATATTACGCAAAGAGCTTTATCGCGACGCGAAATGTCGATTGACAGGTAGATATACACGTACATGTGCAGTCTAGCTGGCGAAACAGCTCGCAAGCCATATGATAAAGCCAACTCCAAAGAGTAGAACGGCGATATCATCGATGAAGACGCTACCAATCTGCATGTACTTCATGCCATTCAGGATAAGTGATGGCAACGGTGCTGGCAAATGCGGAAGTGCAAAAGAAAGTAGCGTTGGCAGCCGGACTGGATCCTGGACAGAGAATGAGATACACGATTCGCGCGCCACATAATGAAACATACCACTCCTTTGAAGATCCTCCACGAATGCAGAACAACTGTAAGCGTCGTAAAAGCCCAGAAGAACGGCTGTGGGAGGGATTAGCACTGACCACTTTTGTAGTATAGGTAGAGCATACCACAAACTGGACACCCCAGCTGTCTTCCGGTTTTCTCCACGCCAATTCTGCCCATCTACTCCATGCAGAGCCGGTAGATCCAGATGTATGCGGCTGCACTTCAAATGCTTGCGGCTCCTTCCACAGGACAAAATATGCTAGTAGCATCCAGCCGGCGACAAGGTGGACGAGGGGCATGAGTTTTTGGAGGAATGTCTTCTTCGCAGGTCGATCAGGCGTCTGGTTGAACATGTTCGTGTTGGGCGGGACCATACCAGGCGGCATGCCTGCACCGCCCTGCCCGCCTCCCGAGGACATCATGGACATAAGGGCGTTGAGCGGATGGTCTTCAGGAAACGACTCGGCGGATTGTGGCTGCTGTCCTGGGAGGGATGAGGCGCCCCCTGCGGCCCCTGCAAATGCGCCCATGAGCGCGGCCAGTGGATTGTGTTCGGGAAGCGACTCGGCGGGTTGCGGCTGCTGTCCTGGAAGGGATGAGGCACCTCCTGCGGCCCCCATGAGTGCGTTCAAGAGCTGCTGCTGCTGCTCCTCGGACCAGATTGTCGGGTCCGGGGTAGAGGCGAACGACGTGGGACGCGAGTCGCTGGCAGTACGCGACAGTCTCGGAGGCGTCGCAGCAGGGGTGTCTTCCCCGAGGAATTGTCTCACGTTCTGCGAGTGGGTTGGCAGAGGTGCCGGTGGCGGGTCAGGAGCTGCCATGTCGCGTAAGTCAGGTACTACAAGTTGACCATGGCCTGTGACGTACACGAATACACCGGTGAATCCTCGCCTCGCGCAGAGGTGGTGAGCTTTGCAAGGCGGTCTGCGCCTCTGTTGAGGATGGCTTTTCTGCGGGCCTCTGCCTTCGCTGCAGCGGACGACATAGTGTCGGTGGTTGTGGTTGGCGGACACGCTGCAGACTGAAGTGCCCCGCTTTCATATTTCGCGAGACGCCCTATTAAGCGCCGACATTGCATTGCTGGGTCCGCGTGTACTACCACACTTACACCTCTACCTGCACAACCTCCGCCAAAATGTCCACGAAACAAGACAAAGCCACTACAGAAAGACATGCCAAGGCTCTGCGTGAGCTTCTGAAGAGTCCCACCAATAAGGTGTGCGTGGATTGCAAGAAGAACGGTGAGTATGTCCATTCTCGTGACGGTCATAGTTGATGATGTTTTCAGACCCCCGGTGGGCGTCGTGGAACTTGTAGGTAGCTCCCTTGTTCTTCCTAAGCTGTGCTAACTTACCTTAGGGGAGTGTTCTTGTGCATCCGATGCTCCGGCATCCATCGTTCAATGGGCACGCATATCAGCAAGGTTAAGTCAGTAGATTTGGACGTCTGGACAGTAGAGCAAATGAACGTGAGTTTCGTTGCGATCTAAAACTCTCCATAGCTACAACATATTCTTTCTACAGTCGATACAGAAGTGGGGGAATAAACGGGCTAACATCTACTGGGAGGCACACCTCAAAGCAGGTCACATTCCCCCGGACCAGTGCGTTCCTCAGTCCATATCATCCTAACAAATACTGATTGTTTGTGCAGCAAAATGGACTCTTTCATCCGCTCAAAGTACGAATCGCGAAGGTGGGCGATGGACGGCCCGCCACCATCGGACCCGTCCGTTCTCGAAGATGGCGCAGCCGAGCCTGCGCCGGAGCCAACACCGCAATCTATCCCCTCCCCTAGTACATCTCGCCCCACACATGCACCCACCTCATCCACAAACTCTGCTCGCGCCTCCGTGACGACCCGTCAACCTCAACCTCACCAGCTGCTTTCCACAAGCATCGCCGGCCGCCCTACGCAAGCGACATCGCAAGCCGCTGCTGCAGCCCAACAGCCCGCCGCAGCAGCAGCCCAGGCGGCACCGGCAGCCACCAACGACCTCTTCAGCCTAGACTTCCACAACCCGACTCCCCCGGCGAGCAGCCCGCCGCCGCAGAAAGACGTCAAGCAGGACATCCTCTCGCTCTTCTCGGCCCCGGCCGCTGCCGCGCCTGCGGCAGCCCCACCGAGCGCGTTCGGCCAGTTCGGCGGCGCCGCACCTGCGCAGGCGAATGTCTGGGGCGGCTTCACCAGCGCCGCGGCAGCTCCACAGGCGAACGCGTTCGGTGCCGCGACGTGGGGCGCGCCGCAGCAGAACCTGTGGGCGGTGCCTGCGGCACAGCCCGCACAGCCGGCCCAGCAGAGCCTGTTCGGCACGAACGACATCTGGGCGACGTCGTCGTCGAACACGACTTCTTCTGCGGCGGGAGGAGACCCGTTCGGCTCGACGCCGCCGGCGAAGAAGGACGATGTGTTTGGTGATATCTGGGGCGGGTTCAAGTAGACGGACTGGGACTTCTCGTTATGATGGTACTTAGGTTTTGACTACCGGCTCAGATTTTTCTGTGATATAGCGCGTGTGTTGGTTTTGTAGACCAGTCTACACTTGATATTGCCTTGGGCATGTCGGAATGGACTTCTGGAAGGACTTTCATCGTGGGTGAACTGACGTCACGCCTCTATCGTATCTTCATAGAGCATCGTCTATAGCCAATCTATACACAACCCTATCGTAATAAATGTGCGAAGATAGAAGCATCTAGGATATTACAAGTAGATGTACGGTTTGTAATCAAGCAGCCGGGGCCGCGGGGGTCACCATCGTAGGCAGCACGCACTCGAGGACGAAGTACTCGTGGAACCGGCAGTCTTTTGTCAGCTCGGGATGGAACGTCGTCAGCAGGTGCTTGCCCTGGCGCAGCGCGACGATCGTCCGGGGGTCCCGCGGGTCCGTGTCGTCCTCGTCGAACGGCCCGGCCGACGCGGGCAGCAGCGAGGCCGAGATGCGCGAGATGACTTGGATGGGGGCGTCTGTCAGCGAGGGTATTAGGTCCAGGACGACCTGTGACGGTTTGAGTCAGCAGCGATAGAGGGGACGGAGGGGGAGACGCACGGGCGCGCGGATGAAGATGCCCTGGTATGGACGGTTCGACTCGCGGAGGCCTTCGACTTCTAGTGGGGCCTCGAAGGACTCAACCTGTGATCGCATGAGACGAGCATGGTCAGTCTTGGTGTTCAAGTGTCCGCACCTGCGAGCCCCAGCCGTTCCGCTCGATCTTCACCGACACACCCCCGAGGACCTCCTGCCCGCCCTTCTTCGCGTTCTCCACCGCCGCCGAGAGCAGGATGGCGCCCGCGCAGGTGCCCCAGACGGGCTTTTGCTTCAGGAACTGCGCCATGGGCTCGAGCAGGCCTGCGAGGCGCGCCAGGAGCGCGATCGTCGTCGACTCTGCGGAAAGGGGAAGGGGAGGGAGAAAGGGAGCATACGATCAGCGCGCGTGCGGCGACAAGTGCCGCAGAGGAGACGCACCGCCACCAGGGATGACGAGTGCATCACACCGGTCGAGGTCCTCGGGCGTGCGCACAAGCACGATGACGACCCGCCGCTTCGCGTTCACCTTCTGGAACATGACCTGGTGCTCCGCGAACGCCCCTTGGAGGGCTGCCCACCTGTGAGCGCGCATGCAGAGCCCGCGGAATTTGCTATGCACGCACCGAGGATCCCGATGATCACGTCCTGGCGGGGGCTGGAGGGCTGCATCGCAGGTTGTATGCGGAGCGAATGGGAGGTTGAAGGGAGAAAATGCCTCTGCCAATTTTGGGCGCCTGCCACTGAGCTGGCCCGGCGACAGCAATCTCCCGAAACTGAGCGTGTGCAGCTCGCATAAAGTGATATTAGGATATCTGTGTCTGAAGTAGCTACATCGAATGACTAGTGTATGCAAGGTAGGATGCTCGAGTTCGTATGGGACGACTCGGATCCAAGAAGCGCTGTTCTCAAATCTTACGAGCAATAAACAGCACCGAAGGGGGATCTCGGGGAAAGTCATTCCCATCATCTCAGCCAGGTCAACTGGGAGCTCCATCCACCAAAAGCATAGATCCCGATAGGCCTTCCAGCTAGGCCCAGATGCCTGTGGCATCGGAGTCATCTCGAATTTTTTGTTCTTTTTCTCTCTCTAAGCTGTAGCTCGATCGTTTGCGAAGGCCTTGCGACCTCAGATATATGCTCTGCGGCTGACTCTTTCTGCGCAGATGAAGTGTAAATGGTTACGCAAGTAGCTGAGAAGCAAATAGAACGACATACGAGCAGGGTTCATGCGGGCAGGCGGCTGAGACGCGATGTAGCTGTGGTCCAGATGCTGGGCTTCTGCCGTTGAGCAGGCCCATCGAGGATCGTCGCGTCAAAGCTGGCGTTCTTGAATGGAGAGAACAAGCCCGGCCGACAAGGGCAACCAAAGCGCGGCTTCATTAAGCCATGCTCCTTTGAGCTTCTTCCGTGGACGTTTCAAAGCATTGATCGGAGCAAATTTCCAAGTGCCCTGTTTCCATCAGGGCGAGCACCGTCGAGGAGCCAAGCTTCCAAGCGTGATTGACTGTATGTGCCAGACGAGCAGCGATCCTCGACGCGCTTCGCCCTGCGAATGAACGACTCCTGCGAGTGGGAGCAGACCCATGAGGACGCAAGTGGGGCAAGGAGCATGCCTTGCTTCGCACCAACTTGGGATCCTTTGGGAGAGGTTTAATGAAGGCAAGCGAAGACAGAAATGCCTCGGCCCTGGCTTATTGCCACGTATTCGTGCTGCGGGTAATATCGATTAGAGGCACCACATGGTCGACGGAAGAGCAGAGCCGTTGTGGCGTCCGGTTTCCCCGTCCAATCACCGTGAACCGGGAGATGCCGAGATTCTCCGCCTCGCTTCCCAGACCGTCTTCTCCAAATTCTGCCCCAATCCCCAATTGTCCCATAAAATTAAATTCGTTGAGTGGGTAAGCAGTTTTTTGTTACATCCAGTGTATCGATTGATTAGTTGTGATTAAAGCAAGTGTCACCAGTAAACGAAGAGCCTGGAATGTTGCTCGCACGCGAGCGCGGTCATCCAGAAAAAATGAGCGAAACGAGTGGAGGGGGGTCTCAGGAACCGTAGACATGTAGAAAGTATAATCAAATAACATCATGGAAGGCGGCGAGTGCGGGGAAGAACTCGCGCACGCGCGCCTTCTCGTCCTCAGCGATGGGCGTGGCGTTCGGGTGCGACGCGAAGACGACGCGCTGCAGGGTGCCGCCGGCAATGCGCCGGCTCAGCTCCGCGTCCAGCCCGTACAGCACGCGCCTCAGCTGAGCGATCAGGCCGGAGACGTCGTGCGTGGCCCTGTAGCGCAGGACCGACACGGGGAGCGGGTTGCAGATCGTGATGGCTGTGATGCGCAGGGTCGGGGCGAGCGAGGCGACGATTGTCTTCATGCAGCGCGCCATGGCGACTGTGGCGTCGTCGGAGCAGGCAGTGCCGGGATGCATGGTGATTGCGAGCTCGTCGAGAGCGCTGACGTTCGCCCAGTCGGCTTGCATGAGCATGGTGAGATCTGCGTCTGTTCCGAGAGTTGAGTATGGAATGCGTGACCGAGACACCTGAACACACGCACCGGGAGGCGATACATGCAAGCCAATCCTTCCGAAGGCCTGTGGGCCCGTGGACAGCTGAGTAGACCACGAGTTGGAGGTGAAGGTAGGAGTGTGTGGGGGTTTGCGGACACCGGGGGTAAGAATGCATGCGTTCATAGCTGTGTTAAGGATAAGTTACCTAGACGACGATAGGTGGTCAGCGCAGGATTAATAAACGAAATCGCAGGAGAGACTCACGAAGACAGTTGGATTAGACGTGTCTGAGGAAGAAGGGATGTTTTTAGAATGAACGTCGAAAGGAGGGACAGGGAAACGAAGGTGGGGGGGAAGGACTGAAGGCTGCCTGAGGAAAATCGCCGAGAAGCAGAGGGGGTATATATACTGATAGGATTACCCTTCCGGGGACCTCAAGGCCGCCTCGTGTCGACAAATCCAACGCGCCCTAATCCTAGGCCAAGGTTTAACATTTAATTTGCGAGATAGCTTTACGCCACTCAAATATGATTAAACCGGATGACATACAATCCGGCGTCTGCGACTGCTGAGGATCGTCACCATGAGATTGTAGAACGAAAGAGCGGCAAGTACTAGAGAGCATTAACAGGGGTGCACATGCGTGAGGGCCATAAATTTGAACAGCTGAGTAGGAAACACAGGATGGCACCCCGACAGGCTTCGGAAACACTCGGACCAACGAAGATTGATCCATAAATTAAGGAGAGCGAACCAGATCCGGAAGTCCTAGAAACGGGGCGTGCAGATCACGTCGGCAGGAATGGCACATTCCATCCCACCAGGGGGGGCATAGAGTCTGAGTGACACCGCTCCAGAGCGTTTTTGACAGAGATGTGTATCAGCCTTGACATGGGCTGCAGCTAGAAGCACCTCACCACGGACGTCCCCTCCGTTATGTTGGGCACGGAGGACCACCGTTGACGGCCGGCCTAAGCGAGGAGCGGCACCGATGCCGAGCTGAGTCGGAGCGTTGCACTTGTCCCTCGCAGTCGCGCGTTTCGAGGTCCGCTCCGCAGCAGAGGGCCCGGGGGGAGGGATCGTAGACGGCGAAACATGACTCGACAGGGTCCCGCTGGCGCACCCCCATATTTCGAGAGGTCCGGCCCGCCTCCAACCCGCGGGTGAGGGCACTCGTTCAATGGCGGGTGAGCGGCAGCCCACGATCATAGTCTAAAACGATAGCGTAAATTTCAAGTTTGATACTCTTCGCAGAGGAATTAGCACACCTTGGGACGGAGATCAGAGCCACGGATATACACTCCATCGATTTGTCGCGATAATCATTTCGTCCTTGACAACACGGATAGCGGGCGTGACAACACACTAACAATGACTGGAATTTAGCCAGAGCGCTGTTCATTTGTGTATCAACCTTCGCACGGACCACCAGGGGCATCCCATGAGGGCCGCCGGCTCCGTTTAGTCGGGAATGCAAAACCATTATAGGAAAGCCCAAGGGGTAAGAGCGTGAGCCTCGAGCCGCAGCGGGGTGGTCACGTTCGGCCAGAGGATCCGACACGTTGAGGGTTTGATACCGAAGCACTGGGCTTTGGAAATTGCGTTCGGGTGGCACGGGTCGTCCCACGGGAAGGATTTTTCTAGGCAACAGCGTGTGAATCTCATGGGTCTTGCTCATGAACTCTCGATCGTCGAGAGGTTCTCCCGGTTCCCGCTCGTTGCTGAGAACTTTGTCCTCGCGAAAAGAGGGTACGTGGGAACTTGGCCTTGCGTGATGACATCGCTATTCTTCCCGGCATCCTTGCAGAGAAATGAACTGCGAGGATCTCCGGAGAGAAGAGGTTGTGAACGGCAGGGCGTAGCTTAGTGGCGGTCCTGCTGGCCAGCTTCCGATCCTCGAGAAGTCCTACCGTGTCTGATTCGTCTCCGACGACTTCCCCCCTCGCGAAGTCGAGGCTGCGTGGCGCACCTGGTCGATTCTAGCCTCACATCATTCATTTCGGCACAGTGTGGGGGAAATGAACTGCAACACACCTCGGGACGAGATCGAAGCAGCGACGTGCATCTCATCGAGATGATCAATTTTGTCCATGACAACGCGGCGCAGAACGAGGCCTCTGCTCCACCACTCTATACCCAGAGTAACGAAGAATCTGGTTTACGTTTTCCCTCACACCACTTTTTCGGCTTCGTGATCCTCGCGATGGCTTAGGTAGGGCAGCGGGCGGGTAGGACATACCGACAACTGAACAGCTGTCTCCGCATCGTCTCCGCTGTTTGGCAGGTTCGACGGGAGAGAGACGGACATCGGCAGCATCTCGGAACCTGGTAGAAGGGTCCGAGAAGACCTCGCTGGTCGCGCGCAGTCGTGCGTGGATCTAGGTCGGCGGGCGGGGAGGTGCCTCGAGGGCAGAGCCCTGTAGCGAGCGAACAGCTGGACAATTGTGTGTAGAGATGGCGTCGGGGCTCGGTGAGAACGAAGACGGGAGGCCGCGGTGGTCGCGGGGTAAGTGCAGCGGGGGTTGCGCGGTTGGGCGGAACGAGCTTTCTTTGTGTATATTTGGTTCTGATTGATGGGCTGTGCGCCGAAGGGCGTACGGTTCTGCTCTGCTTCGTTTGTGCGCGAACTTACACCTGGGAAATAGACCCTCGACGCAAATCTCTAAACCCGCATGCAACATGTCTTTCGAAGGCGGCTCGAATGTCACGAAGGCCGATAACACAGCCAATGAGCTCTCAAAACGAGTACACGTGCGGGTGAAGCTCTCAAGCTATCGGGATGCTTTCACATGTACATGTGCAAAGGCTCCTTCTTCCTGAGATGAATCTTCTTTTCGGTAACATATGGAAGAATATGCCCAAGCATGCCTCCTCAAGCTATATAGGTGGCTGGCTGCGCATCGGCGACGTTCCGGCGAACATTTCATCCCCATATTCCCTAGCAAGTCTCTGTATCATGAACGCACGGTCCACCGTGCTCGCATTAATCACCCTCCTCGCTCTGCATGTTCAAAGCGGCCTCGCCTGGGGCAACTTAGGGCATCAGACTATCGGGTATGTGGACAGATCGTTCAATCGCGACTTGTGGATCTCACTCGGTCGGAAACTACGTGACCTAGACTTGTCGCTCAAGAGGTATCCGCTACTATTTATGCAGGCATACCTACTCATATTATCCGCAGTTTTTAGCGCCGAATGCTCTCTCTTTCGTTCAAACCACCCTCGGCTCCCAGTATAACTTTTCCCTAGGCCCTGCTGCTACAGTGCATACCCTTCCTCAAAAAACAAAAAAGATTTTATATCATAAATTCGTGATCGTAGTGGGCGGACATGGTTAAGTCGGAACCTGCGTTTACATGGTCCAAAAACCTCCACTTTGTCGATGCCGAAGGTATCAGGTCTTGTCTCGTCTCGCTTTGCCATCAACTCTGATATGATCGATCGCTAGACGACCCGCCAAGCTCCTGTTCTGTCGAAGAGATTCGTGACTGCGCCGATCAGATTTGTGTCCGTGCGTGTCTTCAGCAGACTATCGCTACGACAACAACCGAACACTGATGTTTGCTCAGTCGCCGCCATCGCCAACTACACCACGCGCGTCGTCGATCCTACCCTGGACGCGGAACAGATCCAGGAAGCTCTAAAGTTTATCGATCACGTAAGTTCCTCGCCCGCTTCGATCGCACCACCCCATCAAACCCCGGCTGTAGTTTGTCGGTGATATCGGACAACCTCTGCACGTCGAGGTTCGTCATGCTTCGACATTGTGGCGTTTTATATTGATCCGCGTGCCGCGGTCTAGGCGGTGGCCGCGGGAGGCAACGACATCGACGCCACGTGCTCCGGCTCAAAGACAAACCTGCACGCTGTGCGTTTCTCGTATAATTTACACATATTGCGCACTGACCCAGATACAAGGCCTGGGGTACGCTCTCCTGCGAGTCTAGAGCTCAAAGTCCTGCTGACAATCATCAGACACTGGCATGCTCACGAAGAACGTCGACGCCGTGCACGGCGGTACCTCTGAGCAGTACGCCGCCGACCTCGTCGCCGAGATCCAGGTCAGAGCCCGCACGCTCTCTCTATTGCCCGCGACGGTACCGCTGACTGACCCAAACGGCAGACCGGCGCGTTCAGCTCGCTAACGGCCGACTGGCTCTCCTGCACGTCGACCACGGAGCCCGTCAACAACAAACGCGAGGACGCCACGCCGAGCATCGAGCGGGACGTGCGTGCTCTCCTCGCCACACGCGACACGGCGATGGTTACGCCACTCGAGTGTCCGCTCGGGTGGGCACGCGAGTCGAACGCATTCGACTGTGTGAGTGGGGAGTCCCGCTGCGTTCCGAGTGATGTATTGACACTACCCCCGTTTGTGCCAGTCGACCGTGTTCAACTTTGAGCCTGAGGAAGATCCCGAGCTGTGCGAGGGCACGTACTTCACGAACGCCATCCCTGTGGTGCGTGTCTGCCTCTTCTCTTCGTCTTTGAGCTGCGAAATTGATGGCTCGAGGCAGATCGACCTGCAGCTCGCCAAGCAGGGCTTCCGGCTCGCGGCGTGGCTGAACGTCATCTTCGATGGCGCTCCGATGCTTTCTTAGGCTGCGACTCACTTGATGGTGGGCATCCTGCAGACGTTGGTGCCGTTACGGACCTTGGAGAGGCAATGGAATCATGTGGGTGCACAAGGGGCAGGAAGTTGGTGAGAATTACGATGCGTGTAAGAATATTGTGAAATAAGTAGTGCCTATGACGTCGGGTTCACTGAAAGGCGTCCAGTCGAGCGCCAAAGCACCTGCTGACGTCGCGCAGCAGCCTCCGATGTCGGGGATCGAGCGGGTTTACGCAAGGCGCGGGATATTCAGTGGGGTGGGGCAAGAGCTCGGGTCAGACCTTAGCTCTCAAGGCCTAGCCTAGCATTCTGCCTCAAAACGTTGATCGGGACGAACTGTAGATGCCCTGTTTCTGTTACAGTGAGCGCTTGCGCGGGGTCAAGAGTGAGCGACTGTAGTACCTGCCAAACGGGAAGCGACTTGTAGCAAGCGCCATCTCGCGGACGCGCAAGTTGCAGCGGCGAAACGGGGGCGAAACACGCGAATAGATCGGGTGTACGAAGGCGAGGAGCAGGCTTCGCGCCCAATTCTCCGCAAGAGATGAAGGACGTGGGCGTGGGTCTGCGGCTCGCTGCCGCTGGCTGCGGTCTTTGTATCATGAAACAATCATCTGCGGTCACCAAGAGTGCCCCGGGCGCGATCTGGTGCGTAGGGTGCTGCGGGCAGCAGCGGTCGCCAAGGAAAGGGTGAAACGCGGGATGAGGTAGTAATGAGTCAAGGACGTGAAGTTGTGGCGCCGGGCCCGCCCCACTGATCGGATCAGGAGAGACCGAGCTACATCCTCGCCTCGGCTCTCAGGTTGTCTTTGAACTATCTTTCTGCGTCGAGCCACCGTCCTCGCATTGCTTCACAAATAAGTCCGCGCGTCATGCGAGTAAAAATGAGCATATCCGGTGTGTAGGACGAGCAACCGGTGCCGTATTTAATAACCTAGTGCGAATATTGATTGCGAACACTACTTTCGGCACACAGTGCGAATGTGATCGTCCAGAAGGAGAGAGCGTAACGAGCGGAGAGAGAGAGAACATCAGGAACTACGAGTGCGCAGCGCCGTGTGACTACAAAACGTCATGGAAGGCCGCAAGTGCAGGGAAAAATTCGCGCACGCGCGCCTTCTCAGACCCAGCGATAAGTGTGACGTTCGGGTGTGACGTGAAGAGGACGCGTTGCAGGGTGCCACCGGCGATGCGCCGGCTCAGCTCGGCGTCCAGTCCGTACAGCACGCTCTTCAGGCCGGCAATCAGGCTGGAGACGTCGAGCGCGGCCCTGTAGCGTAGGACAGAGGTGGGGAGCGGGTTGCAGATCGTGATGGTCGTGATGCGTAGGGCTGGGTTGAGTGACGCGATGATCGTCTTCACGCAGCGCACCATGGCGAGCATGGTGTAGTCGGAGTCTGTGGCGCTGTAGTACATAGTGACCGCGAATTCGTCAAGAGCGTTGATGTTCCTCCAGTTGGCTTGCGCAAGCATGGCGAGATTTACTTCTGCTCAAAGAGTTGAGTAAGAAATGCGTGTCGAGACACCGGAACGTACGCACCGGAAAGAGGGGAGACGTGCAAATCAAGCCTTTTGAAGACTACTGGGCCTGCAACGACCTGGGCAGACCATGACGCTGGAGTGAAGGTAGGAATGTGCGCGGGAGTTCGGACAACGCGAGTAAAAATGCGTGCGTTCATAGCAGCTATGCTGAAAATAATCTATCTGGGCGACTGTGGGTGATCAGCGCGAAAAAGTCGCATAACATTTCAAGAGAGACGCACGAAGATAGCTGTAATAGATGGCACTGAGAAAGCGAGGTTGCTATTAGAGCGAATGTCAAAAGCGAGACAAAAAAGAAGGAAAGTGGGAGGAGTCCAGAAATCCGCCCGGCGGGAATTGTCAGAGCGTGACTAGATTATATATGCCTGCACCGACGATGAAATCGTGCTTTCCGGACCTTGCGGCCATCGCCGATGACAAACTTTGTATTAGGTTAGGACTTGAGGGTCAAATTTTGAGATTCCGATTTTGCGCCCGGAGATGACGACAATGTGACCCATGTAGTGTTCAAGCTGGGTATGTTTCAGACCGAGGGACGCACCATCGGTCTCCGCATTGGCCTCGACAGGTATTGCATAACGAGAACGTAAAGCGAACAAGCAGCAAGCACTAGTGAGTGCGCAGCAACCTCGGTACGCACGGGAAAACGTACGAGCGATACAATAAAACTGAGACAATTGAAAAAAAAACCGCCCGGACGATACCCGCCGGCGTGCCCTGATCGGTCGGACGAGCGCTGACTGCCAAAGGAACCCCACTTGCAGATTGCGTCGAGGAGAATGTGTTGGATTGCTGCCCTGCGGTGTATGAATTCGGTTGCCATCTGTCCAAGAACTTTGTCACAGACGCCTGTCAAACTCGACATGGGAAATCACCAAAGCACACCACGAGGACATGCTACTCCGACCGGTCAGACACACGGGACTCCTGCAGGTAATCGGAACGACAGCGGTGGAAGAATCGGTCTACGGCGGGCTGGTCATGCACGGTTCTTGAGGCTCCATCGCATCAACAGCTCGATATGGATGTGCTGGAAATTGGAGATTGCGTTCGTGCGCCACTGGACGGCACAGTGCGTCCCGAGGAAGTTGTAGCCGGGGGTCACGATCCTGCTGGCGAACCCTCGGCCCCACCGGTTTCGGCCCGCAGCCAGAGACTTGCTCCTTGTGAGGCTAAGAGACGTAACACTACAGGGTTTCAACTTAACATGATGGCATCGTCGGTTTCAACACTTTGCAGAGGAATGAATTGCAGACGCACCTTGAGACGGGATCGGAGGGGCGGCGTCTCGTTGGGACGACTCACCAATTCTCCGCTGACAACGCGGGACAGGGTGCTGCTCGTCGACATCCATAGCTCCACTGCGTCATCCATTATATCTAAGCAAGTTACTTCACGTATTTCCACATATACCCCCGATTTCATGACTCTGGCAGCGGCCCCGAGTGGCGCATGAAGATCATGCCACATGGACAAGTCTTCGTGAATGCGATGACCCGACAAGTTTGACAGGCGAAAGACCGATGTTGACGGCACTACGGAACTTGGCGGAAATTTTCTGAAGTGCGGCTCAGCCGGGACCATGCTGTGGCAGATCTGGGGGTGGTAGGTGGGGAACACGTTGCGTTGCATTGCCTCGACATGTCACCTCGGAGAAGGAGTCCTGCCACGAGCCAGCATCTGAACAATGGACCTAAGGCGAAACAGAGGAGGCAACAAGAGCGAAGGTGTAAGATCGCAGCGGAACGTGGTGGTCGCGAGGTGAGCCTGACGGGGAGACTGCCGCGTGGAATGAGCTTGCTGTTTGGCGACATGTTTGGCTCTTGTTGATATTGGTGAGACTGTGTGTTTTTTTATGTATGGATCCGTGTGGGCTCGACCCATGCGCTTGGTGTACATGCTGACTCAAACATAGGAGATAGATCGCCGGTAAATACAGCACATTTCCCATCGCCAGATGATCGGATGCCACGAAAGCCCATCACACCGGCAACGAGCTTGCAAAATGGACTCACGTGCGGATAAAGGTCCCCAAAGTTGCCGGAATGCACAGGTACACGTGCACCAATGCGAGAGGCTTTTCCGTCGACTCGTGGCATATATGGGAGCAACATCTCAAGCAAAGATGAGGCTCGGGGTGTGTAGATCGCAAGACGGGCGCTGTCTGCACTCAAGCTTCTGGCAAATTGTTCACAAACACGCGGTTCGACACGCCCTTCGTGTCTACAAAAGTCTCGTCTAGGGCAACGGCAACATCATTTTGCCGGTATGTGAGCTGTTTATATAACTGTGACCATTCTGACCGAAAATTAGGCAACCTAGATTCATTTCTCAAGAGGTACGGACCGCCGCTTATTATTGGCAAATTGAATGGGTCAGTCCCCAACTCTCAGCCTCGAACCCTACCCTTTTTCTCAGCTGAGTCTCAGCTCACAGCACGCATTCTCTCTGGGCCGTGCCGCTAAGGTGCGTATTCAAAGCTCTTAAGTTCATTTTATACGTTATATTGTCACAGTAGGCGGACGTGGTCAAGTCAGAACTTAATTTGGCGTAGTCTCCGAACGTCCATTTTGTTCACGCCGAAGGTACTGAGTCTCTTCCGCTTTAGCAGAGCTTCCGCATGTTCTGACGCGCCGGTCGACCTCCTCCAGGTCTACGGAATCCGCGACTGCGTCAGTTGGACATATGTGTTCATGAGCACCCTCTGCTATATACAATCAAGCATCTCATACTAGACAGATGCCACATTTGTCGGCGACATCGGGCGGCTTCTATACGCTGGGACACGTGGTCGTCTTGCCAGATGGCGGCTCGCAGATCTGCCGCGTAAACGCTGGAAATCATGGATGCCAACACGTGATTCGGATCGTCGGCTTTTATCTACCGGAAAATGGCGCTAATTCTCGCAGCGCGCGCTTCCTCTCCATTCCACCACAAACGGGAGTTGTCTTCTCTCCGCCGCGCTAGCTGGTTGGTTCCCTCGCATGTTGACAACGAGGCCGTGAACGACAGGTGCGACAATGGCGGAGGCGCATCAAGACGAAGAGGACACAGAGCAACCGAGGGCATATGCATACAAGCATTGTCCTCATGGTGTGTATCTCACTTTTGGATTTGCGGGCAAAAATCCGCTGACGTTTCGGGAGCAGGTCAAGTTGCAGCTCGTAGAGTGGGGTTTCTGACGCATCGTGTAGTTGAATGTCATCTAAAACAATACATCTACGCTTTTCTATGCTGGCCCTCGACGCTGAATTTGCAACGCGGTTTGGAGCCATTGCAGCATCACATGGGTGCACAGGGTGAATAAATGACGTTTATAAGGCTATACATGAAGATCCTGTTGAATAGCTAGTGTCCATGAAGTTGAATTCACAGAAGGATATCAGGGCATACAAGAAGTACTAGGTATGTCAAAGCACTGAATAAGATCTATGCGTGCGAGATATAACAGATGTCAATGCGTTTGGTAACAAGGGAAACTGGCAAGAGATGAGGTGAGTAAATGAGGGGTAGTGTGGTGTCCAGAAGCATCCTGCTCAAAACTGGAGCATACCATAGTCCCAGAGTGCAGGGAAGAAGCTTCTGATGTGCACCCAGTTATCCTCAATGAACTCCTCGCCAGAGGGTGGCACGAGCGTGACTGCACGCAGCTGGGCACGGTCAATGAGCCTGACAAAGCACCTGTCGACGCTGTACAGCAGTCTTTCGAGGGCTTGGACGAGAGTTGAGCGTGACCACACGGAGCACAAGATAGTGTGCGGGACGGGACTGGAAAGCGTAATGTGCTCCAGAAAAGCGGTCTTGGGAATAGACCTGATGACGGCGAGGATGCTGGTCCAGATGTGGATGATGTGGGTATTGTCGAGGGTATTGAAGACAACCTCGAATGTAAGGAAGCGCAGGGCAGGGAATTGGGAGAGATTGAGGTAGCTCATGGAGACAAGGACGGCTGCACCAAGCGCAGGCCCTGGTTAGCCGACGCACGGCGAGACAAGGGCCAGGACATGCACAAGAGATAATATGAGGAATAATTCAAAGGTGCACGATGTTTTCAAGCCCTGTGATGCTCCTGTTGCTGAGTGCATTTATAGTGATGGGCATTGGGACACCGTCAACACCCCGCTGGAAGCTTAGGACAGAAGGTCTGAAGACAAGGGGAGTGATTTGGACAGCAGCGTTCATGGATTTTTGACAATGTATGAGTACTGGTAGTACTCAATGACATGAGCCGCAGGTAGTATGAAACAGCAGAAACAGTCTCAAACTCATGCCGACTGGAGCCTCGCCTTATATACAGTAGTGCAGATCAGACTTAGGCTGCGGCTCAAACAACACTTCGTACAAAAAGTGAATTTATGTCCCAGAGTCTCATACACAGGGAAACGGGAAATTCAGTCAGTTTCACAATTTGAGGATTTTTGAATAGATAGCATCGGATTTCAGCGCTGCACGTACAGCATTGCATGTCTCAAAATCGAGACGCCCGTATTGTGCCAGAAGCCAGATTCCATCCAGCCAGTTCTCCGCATGGATTTCTGTACAGCCAGTTCCTGCAATCCATATGAGCTGAAACTGAGTCTGACCTGTGTGGAGCTGTCAAGAAGTGACTGATGTGCAACTTCGTTACATTGTTCAGTGCTCAGAGACAAGTCTGCAGTGGTAAGTTAGTGAAAAGCTATGAGCAACAGTGATCTATGGTTGGTCGAGTCCGACCCATATCAAGGAGAAGACAAACTGGATGATCCAGATGGTGAGTGTTGGCTACTCAGAAATGTCAAACACGTCTTCATATCCCGTAGCATTCAAGTTCACTGGAACATCATATTGGTGCAAGAGGTGTAAGGATGCCCAAGTAGGCTCTCTTTGCAAGGCCACTGCTCATGAGCAGACAAGCAGCCACATCATTAACACCAGATATTGTGATAGGCGAGTCTCCAGTGATCTGCTTGCCTCTCAGCCCTCTCCAGATCCATCATCCGGATGTTCAAACACTCGATACATAAGCGGCATGGCCAATGAGCTTTTGCCACTGTCTCCATTCTCATCTCCCAATCATTACTACACCCCTGCGCAATTTGAAGACATAGATGATAACGAGGAATTGGATGGTGCAGGTGATGTTGGGGATGGTGCAGGTGATGTTGAAGATGGCTTCAATGACAAAGGGCCTGCAAACCTGTCTGCACCTACTACTGGTGGACCTGCGGCCAGTCCATCTATCAGAAGTGATATGTAGCTTGCTGTATTCTGCGTGGTGTAAATTACAGAGGTTTCTCGACTGTTTTGTTGCGACAATGAGCTCATGGGTGGCAATGGCCGGTCTGTGCAGGCACTCAAATCATAGGTCTGAGATCTGCCCATGCAGTTTCCTGGCAGGACAGAGTCTGCATCTCGGCTGACCACGGCCAGCGCAATTTTGGTATTGCTAAATTTTCCCTTGATATCATGGAATTCCTAAAATTGTGAAACTACTGAATTTCCTGGTTGCCTGCGTAGGTTATATTCAAGCATGTAGTATGGTCAAATTCAACTAATTGCATGTTTAGAATTCCACCACTTAGGTTGCCTACCGTAACTGCAAGCACTATATTAGGCAAAATTGGCAGAGAAATAGAAAATGCATCACAATAATTGTAACTCCTGCATTCAAACAGGTCTTCATTTGCTACCTCACGAACAAGATACCGTCACTGAGATTCTTCCTGATCCCGGAGTGGTGAGCAGGCACCATGCTTTATCCCGAGCCACGCTTTCAAACTGTCCCACATCGGGACCATGCAGGGTTGTGTCTTCTGTACTCCACTGAGGCAACTTGCTTCGTGTTATGCCCCATATTGCAGTGGCAATACTGCTAAAGATGTCGTTACCACTGTAAAGGTGAACCTGATTTGAGTCGTGAAGCTTGAAGTTTAAATTTCGAGATCCGAGGATCCAACACCCATCAGGCAAAAACTCAAATGATCTAACTGCAGGCCAGAGTCTTTGACACGCATGTCTGGTTTCCATTGCTCTTAAGATGGCTTCATCTTTCAAGAAGAACTGCACAACATCTCCATATAAGAACCAGTCTAGAACTATTGGCTGCCGGCTTTGGCATTCCTGACATTCATGTTGTGAGATACAGCATGGAGAAATCGAAGTGTGGCGTTTGCTTAGACATATGACGAATTTGCAATGCAAGGCAGAGGCTTCAGATCAGAGGACAACAAAAGCGTGAGCAACATGATCATCTCTCCATGGGTAAATTCAGTGCTGCACCCTCGTGTCAACATCTCTGTGTTGTGAGGTTATTGGCAGATCCAATGGAGCACTGGAGGCGCACCTGACAGCATGTTCTTGGTTGCCCGCTTTTTCTTACCTCAAAGTCACAGCAGCAGACACAATAGATTGAAGCTGCCTAATTGATTTCCCAGAAGCTTCTAAGCTGTGACAGCCTCCGGCTCAATGTCAAAATGTTTAAGGCACATGGGGCCGGTAGTATACAATTCTTCGTATGATTCTTAGTGACTACCACCTGCCAACCCGCTCCAAGACACCATGCTTATACAACAATTTTGCGGAGGGTAATACTCTGTCCACTTTAGGATGAGACAAGGTTAGGTAGCTCTCCACAGGCTTCTGACAGTGCTAGCAAGTAGGGCACAGTCTTAGACTCACAGCAGCACAGTTCTGGCAGGCTGCATTTTGACAGATATGCATATTCACCTCCAAATCTGCACCACTGAAGCCCTCTTCTCGCTTCAACAATCTCAACTCTTGCCACATGACAACGCATATTGTGCAGTTGCTAACATGTCCAGACTGCTAGCATATCACTCTGGGCTCATCTGAGAGCTGTGTCCATTGCTCATATCTGTCAAACTTGAGAAGTAATACATACCTTCTGCAATCATTCTATGTAAAGCACCCTATCAGCAATACGAATGAGCGAAGAGCGGCCCAGATATTAGTGATGCAAATAGTGTGGGCCCACACGTATTTGTCATGGCCCACGAAGTCTCAGATCATACATGACATAATGTGTCAAGAGACCTAAGGGCGGTAAATTGAACTGTGCTAGTTACAATCTCACCGTGTGCAGTAGTGTAGGTAATAATGCACCAGCCTCTACAAAACCGGCAATCCATTTTTGTCAGGTGGAGACTGCCAGCATGAGCTCGCGCTCTGTCATGCTGCATGAGATCACGCTGCAGCACGAGCACTTCGAATAATTGACCGAATATAGGGCTGAAGAAATTAATGTATTTTCAGTCTCGCTAATACTGTTGTGAGGTTGTGTGTTTGGGCCCCAGCTGACACTATGCATGAGTCACTCTACCCATTCATATCCATACATTATATCTGTGCTCCATCGGTTAGACACAGGTTCACTCAGGACAAGTACTCCATGTGTGCAGACTGTCTTTCGTAATCTGCAGGCACGGATAGAGACATTTGCAGGCAATACATGGGGGCTGCGAGGAGCAGTGTCTTATTGTCATACGCAGTGCAATGCAAAAAGAAGTGGATGGAAAGGATTTACACAGGTTCATTATGATGCGATTTGATGGCCTGGAGCATTCCTAGGACCCTAGACGACAGATGATCTTTGGTAGCAGGCGTGCTGAAAGAGTGCAATTTACTTGCTTTGGTCCGTAAGGCACATTCCTCAGAGGGACCATGGGAAGACCGGTTAGATCGCCTCCTCCAATGTGAACTGACTCAAGCATTTAGTAAATAATGTGAAGTGATGCACTAGCCTATGCAGAGCATGAAATTGCATGAAAAGCCGCTCGAGTGTTGTGTAATAACAGAGGCAGAGGCACTTACAAGATAAGTTACACAGATTGACAATTTAGCCCGATCCATTAGACGTGCCAACAAGTGATATTATTGTAGCACTACCTGCAGCACGTGACCATGATTCAAGTCATGATATGCGATAATCACCCTACAGCTCAGAGTAGCAGTTCAATTAGCAACCAATAGGTCCTATGGCAAGAGAGACCAATAGGAAATGCATCAAACAAGCTTTCGAGTCATGGTAATGCACTCTCGTTCACCAACCAGCTGTGACCATGACTTGAATCTCTGGTCGTAGCGTTGCAGAAATTTGAGCACATTGCATTGGTGCGAACATAAACTTTGCGCACTGCAGAGCATGTCAGTTTTCCAGAGCCAGAGCTACTGCATTGAAGAGGAAAGCTGCCCACCTGCTTCCTTGCAAGGCATCTGCACAATTGGGAGCTCCCGAATAAAGAATATGACTCTGCCAAAAGCGTCCATACTAAGCGCATAATGGCTGAGGCAAGTCTAGATGTCCATGCCCTGGAGCATGAACAGCCCACAGCTGACGGTCCAGGGCAGGACGGACATGCTGGTATTAATATTTTGCTTTGATTACAAAGATAGTCGGCCTTGCCTCCTGCCAGCGCATATGAGGGCATTTGGATCACACTCTGCAGGCTCATTTCCGTCATCGCCCTCCTGTAAAGAGTGGGCTCCATCCTTGAAAATCGATTTCAGCGCAGGAGAGGAAAGCAGAGTTCCTAGAAATTGACATGCGCTGCACTAATCTTTTCTGGATCACCAGAGATGCATGTGTGAACCGAAGAAGTGGTCAGCACAAATGTGTAGAGCATGCCCGTAGATCTTGTGAGTCCTTCCTGGCGCTCTTCCTATTCTCATGATGCAGAAGAAGGCTGCCTGTATGAAGTCTTGTAGAGCCGGCATACTGACAGAGACCTGGATCTGAACTCGTAGGGTTAGAAGAGACACACATGACAGCTGAGTGCTCTCACTGACCGCAATTGTGATGGCCCAAGGCGTGGATATCCAGTATGCTCGTGGTGCTCAGAGCTGGTCTAATTCTGACGATGATTTCATTCATGGATCTTGCTCAGATGGGCTTGTGTACACGACCCTTATCTTAAGGGGATTTCTAAATGGGCCTAGA